GGTAATCTGCCTACAATTGATATGAAAGAAAAGGAATTTAAGGCAAAACAACATTTATTTTTACACGTATATGCTATAGGGCGGATGTAATTACTCGAAGTCACATTCGTAACTTGCCGAACCTTTTTTATCCTTTTACATGGTTTTATCGGCAAAATTCCTCTCACATTCTCAGAAAACCGTTATGTCAATTTTCGCGCTGAACACTGCGTTTTCGTTTCTTTTGGTGGTGAGGAATCTGTATTCACCCACTGAAGAAGGAACTAGGCAGACTAAGAAATCCTTGTTATGGTCTTGATTAGCTAAAGAAATAGAATAATAGACAGGGTAGAACATAAGATTTGTTGTCATAATCGAGGTTAATTTAATAAATTATCTCAAAATATTACAAATAGGAGAGGCCTGAAAGGTCAATGTTTAACTTCAATCAATTTTTAGCAAAAAGGGGATCAACTCCTAGTCAGGAAATTATCAATATCAAAACAGGCTTCCGCAGAAAACAATGGAGCTGTAATTGTTTAATAACTATTCAAAAAATGTAGTAATTACAATTCGGTTGTATCGAAAACCAGTATGTAATCAAAGGTTTATTATATCAAGGAGCCATCGAAAATAAAAATATTACTTCGAGCTCTGGTCGTGACGGCCGTTTGAGCTCAGAAGGGTGCTTTTCTAAGTTATCTGTAACAGATAGATACCCAAACAAAAAACAACAGGGGTAGTAAATAGCGCGGCACATAAATATTGCGGTAGTAATGTCTAACGTCTGACACTCCGGTACTCGTATACTAAAATCGTAATAAATGCTCAATAAGAATCATTCATTCATTTTATGTTAACTAAACAAATGCAAAATTTTGATTGACAATGAATCGTCGTCAACGTAAACATAAATAAAATAATAACAATAAAAGTAATTTATTCATTCTAGAATGATAAATGACCATTGACTAATATTCAGTTACAAATGCGCTACAAACCGTTGATCTGTTTACTTTGGAAATACAAAATCAATCACGGTGGTTGTGAATGACAATTGGGAAGATATTCGACCCGTTCTAATTTATAAAATCGTCGGTGCATAAGTTAGTACTACTCAAAATGTGTTTGTGTTGAAATAACATTGTCAACAGTTGTAAAACCACGTGTTCCTACAAAGAGGACATTTCTTCATAGCGCAGAAACGTGCCAAACAGCACATGGGAAATTTGCGTTATGAAGTTACCTAGTAAAGTACTACATACACTTTGATAAAAGACTAGTTTCGTGCTGGTGTTAACATCGATACAAAAAAGTACACACAATTTACGGGAGACCCTTTCTCAGTTTTTAAATACATATGTAAACTATACGAAGCACAAAATTCCTATTTTCCATGCCTTATCTTAAAAGTCATCGGAGAAAAGCTAAAACATTTTCAAAATCTTTCACCATATCCCATATCAGACAACGTGCAAAAACTACGCCCGCAGGTCGTACGATCTGAGGTTTTTTAACGACGGAGTGATAAACGGCAAATATAAAACTGTTATTATCAAGTTTTATCACAGCGGCGAAAAAATAAATCAGTGAGTCAATCAAAATTGAGGAACAAATTTCTCAATGACCGAAATTTATACACAAAATGTAAATTTCACACAACCAATTTTAAATTACAACCCTATCTTTATATTTTTCGCAACGAGTTATTTGATGACGTTGCGTAGGAATGGAATGTAGTCAACACGATAGCCCTTTGAGCTTATTTAAAAATGTGTACCAAATCAGACGTATTAATAATCCAATCTGCAGCAAAATTAACTTATGGAGGGTAGAAAATATTCAAAATCGCAACGTGCGACATTTAAAAGTACGTAAGTTTTACTCGGTTTCAGCATAAATTTGATTACCTTTCCCTGCCGTATCCCCTAATTGTTTCATGGATGCGGCTGTAATCTGAAAAATTAGTAGGTAACATATTATATTAAGGTACCCTTAAACTAAATGTTTCATTAGTATTCTCTAAAGAGACCACCTTGCTAGCTATAGTAGCGGTAATTGGCAATGTTATCCTGTGTAAGCGAAGATTTAGTATTGCCTGTATCAGGATAATTGGAGAGTGTAATCACAAATTATAAGATTATCTGGGAACTGTATTTACGATTATGTACTTTACTTTAGTTATGGAAAGGATGATCGTGTTACCCACTGGGACAATTAAAGTATTCTTTTTCAAAGTGATTGCCGTCTCCATGTCATTGCTGGAATAGTTTTAAATCCTATCGGAATAACGGTACTTTCATTCTGTCTCGACGCTCCTTGGAACGCAAACTAAGTGCTTTATTCAACGTTAATTATACGCACACATTTCATTACGGAATGTAGCAGAACAAAAAGGGATGCTTATATCTTGTAATAAGGAAATTATTAATTAATTACATTTTAAATGCTGTGAAAACTTACCCTTTAATGCAATATTAACTTGGCTGCGTTTTAATGCATGTAAATTTAATGTGCTTCTAAAAAAATATGTTGAATCTAAGTATATGTAAGGGTAGCTCCAGGAAGAGGTATAAATTTTTTCAATTTGGTATAGGTAGGTACTTGACATGCAGGCTGATGTAGTTAGTTTGGGAATTGTTCTTTCGTTTTTTTTTCCTTTCTACTTTTAACGTACAACCCCGTGTGGGAACGAGGAAAGCATATTTCCACTGCGAAATACACACGAAATACACAGCATGCGGCAAGAGTTCGTTAATCAAAGGCAGCTTGCACTTTGTGTGTGTATGCGTACAATACTGGATTTTACTTTACTAATCATGAGGTTGTTTAATTATTTTTTTTTTTATTTTTAACTTTTATTAGATGGTATTTACCAAGAGCGAATTCGATTAGCAGAGGACAGTCTCTCGCGCATTTTCCAACGAAGTTGGGTGCGCTATTGCAGCCACTTTCTCTGTCCGTCTGTCCCAGACCTCAACTACTTCTACAGTTTTCAGGATATTTAGTTCGTTTTTTTTGCATTGGGTAGCATATAGCTCTGGAATCTGAGCCAAGGAAAATCTTGACTATTAAACTGCACATTCGCAGGCTGCGCAATATCAACTTTCTTATTTATTAATATATTTTGTTGAAATTTAACCACAGATACTTGTAGTAAAGGCAAACATATCGCATATGGTAAAAATCATATGCCAGAACGCCAACTTTCTCATTTATGGAGATATTTATTGGGCATTTTAACCAAAGTTTTAGTAAAAGCAAACGTGTCGCATATTGTAAACATTAGATGAATATGCGCATGAGCAGGATGCGCAATATTAAATGTCTTATTTATTGATATATCTTTTTGAAATTTGAATCACAGATGCTTCTTTTATAGACACACATATCTGTTATTGCGAACATAGCTATGACCTTTTGCGAAGTACTGATCAATTCATGGAAAATGCACTGGTTACTCGCCTTAGGGCGAAAACCTTTTTACTTGTGTTGTCCGCCGACCTATAAACCGAGCTTGAGTATGGGTGGCATGGACTGTGAATATTTTGGGGTGTATTTATTTACACATTTCTTTTTTTAAATTCTGGCAGGCTGATCAGTGATCATCTACATCGGCGAGTGGTTGGTTGTTCTGTTTATGTCATACATTGAAGTTGGAATTAAAATTGATCGGTATAATATTGCGGTATGAACGCTATGGACGTGTGTTGATTTTGCTGGAGGTAATGGGTTGGTGGCAAATAGGGGGAGATTCTCTTGAACTATCACAAGATACAAACTCGAAAAAAGATATCACCGTTAGATATCTCGACAAACTAATTCTTGGCGCGAAAGTTTTTCGAAAATTTGAAACTCGTCGCCAATTTGTGAACAAATGTTATAACATTTGGTTGTTTCACATTAATGCCCAATCGAACGACGTTAACGGAGTAATATATCTATTGGTGAGGTCAAAATGAATATCTCCTGAAAGGTGTGTTGAAGAACACGGAAAATAATAGAACGCCTGAATTAAACATAACTATTGGCGTTTAAGTGCGAATATCTCGACAACAAACGACAGAAGGAACATGGAACAATGACATGGATAAGCGTGTAGTTAATTAATCGAATAGATTAAATGATTTTTAAATTAATTGGATTTTGTATACGTTAATCATTATTGGCTTCAAGTATTAAAAACAACTCCACGGTCGTATACATAAGTCTGGAAACTCTGTTTTTTGAGATGAGGTTCTTACGTGTCGTCAAACTCCTAATCCTTCGCTTAGCTGCTAGGTGGCGTATGGATCTAGGAATGTTGTCAAGATTATTTTGAACCGCTTATATCGATATAAGTATACCATTGAATAACTTAATTTTTTATTCAATGAGTATACGTATAACATACGTCACATTGGTGCAGATGGTATAACCGTTGGCTTACATCGCGACAACCCAGATTGAAATCCGAGCGCGTATGCTTTTTTTTCTATACGTTCATTAAATTTATGCGACTTTTTGCATTAATTATTTGAATTAGCATTAAAAAAGATTAAACTTAAATTTCAATTTAATTTTAAATTAGGAGGAAGGATAATTGTTATAACGTCACAATGGAAAAGATATTACGGGAGAGTTAATTTAATACAGTAGATAGAATAGGTACATTCAATTGAGAAAATTTGCCCCGAATTATTCTCTAATCTCTATCCGATTCAAAATGCGCCGTTAAAACATCATGCGCGGTCAGCGGCAGTTTTTAGGCAGCAAATCTGATTAGAACGACTATGCTAATAATCTACTTTTTGGCCAGCAGCAATACGCATTTTACTCAATTTTATTCAATCATATGTCAGTTTGGCATCATTACGGTGAGCAACAAGGATAGCGTTATCGGAGAATGACGCAAATTAGTAAGAAAAGCGTTTAGTCCATAAGATATACTGCATGGAGGTGCGAACGCAGTATAGATTTTTTTTTAATTATGTCTAGTCTTACAGTACAGCAATAAATTACAAAGAGTATTTTTTTTTCAGGTGATTTATGTCGGCCTCTCAATTGCAAAAAGAAGGAGATGTGTTTATTAGAAGACGCCTTTACAGCGGTTTGTGTATCAAAAAAAGAACTTCAAAAAAATGGGTAAGTAATATGGTGGTTCCATTTTCCTTCTGCTCTCGCAATTCTTAATTCGTCCCATTAGTAGAAATGCGTTATTTTTATATTTACAGTACATTGAGTATATTGTTCTGGAGCCTCTCAATCTTTGTTTTCTTTTTTATGAAAATCTAATACCAAAAATTCTTTGGGCAATCAGGATAAATAGATTTTTCAGTTATATTTATTAAAAATGGTTAATGCAGTAGTAAAGTGCTTCCATGCACAATCCTTATATTAGAAACGTTTCAGAGACGTTGTGGTTCCGAAGTCGATGTTAAACTCAGAAGAATCTGGTAAACGTCGAGAACGTCAAGACTCCAGAGATGAAGATGCAGATGATGACGTTTTTTATGATACAGAAGAGGATCCAGATGATGATACAGATGAGGATCTTAATGATTCATTGGCGTAAGTGAACTAACATTCTAGTGTAAATTTATTTAAACGTGTTATCCAGATGTAAGCCATGTCCTGTGGTAAAACCAACATTCTTATGCGGAGCTGACAATCGAACATACAGCTCGCTTTGTAGGTTAGATTACCACAACTGCATTCACCACACATCCATAAAGGTTACTTGCAAAGGTTTTTGTCCGTGTAAAGGTAAAGAACTGCATTATTATCATGGAGAAATATAATTTTATTTTTAGAAAATGAGACTCACTTACGAAAGAAACTAAGGCAATCTGAAAGACTCAATTCCTTTATGAACAAGTACAAGTCAACATTAGATAAAAAGGGAACTGTAGGTGCATCTTTAAGTGGGGAAAAGACGGTACAAACTCCACCCCGTTCTGATAAATACACATTTACTCCACAAGATTTTAAATACGACAACAAGCACTACAAGTATATAAAGTATACCAAATATAATAAGGTTTGGTACACGTACAAACTGTTCGACTTACTTTAGAATATAATTTTCTAGGACAATAATCTGCTATATGCAGAGGACAAGGAAAGGCTTCGTGGATACAATGACGTTATTGATAACAAAATATACAGTAATTCATTAGGAACACTGATTCCTGCAACACCACCAGCGAAACAATGTTCACCTGCTGCACTGCAAGCTATGGGCAATCGTCTTTTGGATTGGTTTTCAGTAGTCATGACGGACACCTCCAAAAGAAGAAGAAGCCACACTAAATCAAAAAATAAATCACTGAGTAAGATCTATTTCTTTAAGTTAATCTCACTACAACGCATTTACCTTCGCAGCTCATTTTCCTTCACTGTGCAAAGTTGAGGTCCGATGGATGTTCCAACACTTGGATGTTAACGGCGACGGACGCCTTTCATTACAAGAGCTTTACGACTTGGAGCACGATCAGAGCGAACTTTGCCTGCAACCTTTCTTGCAGCAATGCGATTCCGATCATGATTTAAACGTAACCCCTTCCGAATGGTGTCGGTGCTATCAACGAACGGAACGCCCTTGTGCGGCAGTAAAACGTAAAATTACTGCCGAATTACAAGGTTCGGGTACTAACCTTTGCAGTAATCTGTGGGTGTTATTTTTTTAATTTTAGGAGTGTATGTACCTGACTGTGATAGCCAAGGTTACTATCGACCTACTCAATGCCACAATGCTATTGGAATGTGTTGGTGTGTTGACAAGCATGGGGTAGAATTTGCGAATACGCGCACACATGCTAAACCTAATTGCGGTAGGTAGTCAATAATATGAATTCATACTGTTACCTATGCTAAATATACGGGGTTAGAATTCAAAAATAAAAATTTAACTAACAAAAAATCGTTTCAGACACACTTTTGAATAAAGCAAACGATATTTTGAAACCAATAACCAATAATGCAAATAATCACAGTGATGACGAAGACGATTCGGATCAAGATGTCGAAGGGAGCGCTGATCATCCGGCGGATTATTAACTTTCCTGCCTAAAATTCAACTACCAATTATATCTCAGTTGATTTTTGCCATTAATTTTTTATGCTTACATTAAATCATTCTAGGATGAATCTGTATAAAGTCCTGTGTTGACATTATGGCTGAATCGTAAATGTAGGCGTAAGATGTGTAAGTGTAGATTGCATTGAACTTTTTTTAAGTATAGCTTTATATATAAAGAAAACACAAACATTCCATAGATGCCATAAGATATACTGTTATATTCGTTATTTATAATAGTCATAGTTTTATTTCCTATTAACAAGTATGCACATGTTTCTTTGTATTTTCGTATTGTAAATACTAATATGTTCATGTTTATAATTATTTTTCTTAAGACAAATGTATAAATTTTAGGTAGGTGTGTATTGCTGTGTTGACACTTAGAAGTATTAGGGAATCGACTCTTGCAGCTTATTCATGTTCGTGAAGTCTTTATAGCAAAATAATACTAATTATGCATTTATGTAATAGAAATATTATCGTTGTTACATTTAGATATTATTTATGTGATTTTGATGTCTGTATACAATATTTTTATTAGCTATTAGTAGATTTATAAATTTAATAATGACCTTTAGTGTTTAATCAAAAAGTAATATTAATGTATATAATGCAGGAAAAGACTAATATTTAATTTTTTATTATTGTTTTATTAACATTTATACATATGTATTAAATTTGTACCGTAATCAAACTTTCGTGGGTTAAATCCAACAATTAAAATAATACCATATTCCAGTGTAATTTAAAAAAATCAAAAACATAGGTACATTTACATAACACTCATTTACAATTTTACCTGTGTACTTAGGTACATATGATGTAAGACAATGCCACTGTATCTTCATTAACCAATAAAACTAATTTTTGAAATATTTGAAATAATTGCTTGCCTAGAATAAGAAACCCAAACAGATGTTAGTCTACTTAGTACCAGAGAATACTAAAACTAATACGTCATAATCCAAGACCTTACGCACTTGTGTTTCCAAACTAGTTATCAAGCTACAACTTTTAAACTTTCAGAGAAGCATTGAGAATGAAGAGTTTTACAAATTTGACACAGAAGAGTCTGCAGGCAAACTTCCTCGTAAAGGTTCGTAAAATCTACATATTTAATAGCGTATCAGTACTTAGATGTGACAAATCCTTGTGGGGAGGAAATGTTTCTATAAATGACTTCTCTTAATGAGTTCAGTCAATAGAAACGATGAACACTGTAGTCTTTATTTGTGTTTACATATTCTTTCAAATTTCATTACATTCTTGTATAAAAAATACGCAAGGGACCTGGGTGGTAGAATGGACAGCATTAATGGTCACTCATATGTTCATAGATTAGTTAATCAAAATCTCCACAAAAAAACTTCTTATTTTGCAACAGTAACGATTGACTTCTATATGTAATTGGTGGTAATTGGGTAGTTTTATCACAACTAGATGAGGTTAAACGTCTGGTTTCGTAAGTTGTGCCTGTTTTAAAGTTTGGGTTGCCATATAACACTTTCTCATTACAGTAGGGCAGTCCGCAATTTTGGGTTGATGTTTCCGCGTCACTCATCGACGATACCACAATACTATACCTCGATTGGTCACAATGGTTTGCTAATTTATTTCTAATTTTCTCTTCATCTTCACTCCATACACAATTGGTGTAACATTCATTGTCTTGTATGTGATACACATTCCTGTCTTGATAGTTATCTACTTTAAACATTTTAGGATCTGAAGAATAGGTACCATTTAGTTGTATTTACAGAAAATGAGTACTTACTTGATGTTGGGATAATATCGCCGTCAGTAGGTAATTCATATTGACCGATATTTGATTTACTGAATTCGGTGATACTTGTGTTTCTGTTATCTAAGGACGATTGAGATCGGTAAATTGTATTAGCGGGAAACCGGTCTTCTTGACTATTGTAGTTTGAGTCCATTATACAGGGGTGTACGTAATTGTTCTGGTAGCTATCTTTTTCGGAAAATTTTTCGTTATGGTAAATTGAACAATTGGGGCTATTTAGGTAAACATCCGATGTTTGTTGGAATGTAACGTTGTCAGTAATTGGGTAGCCATTTTCCATATACATTTTACTTTGATCTTCACACCAACTTGACACTTCTTTTAATTTGTATGGCAAATCCAAATCGTCAGCCTGTTCAGGAACGATGTCTATGTCATAAAATTTCTTGTACATGTTGCTATCAAATTCGTTGTTTAGTATTAACGGATTACATAACGGGGACGAATATCTTCTGTTTTCTTGTTGGGGCATATAATGCGCACGATCATGTGACCTAGATGTCATTTGATGCCAGTTACTTAAACGACTTTGATGTGGTTTTTGGGAAGTATGAGTCAGATAATCTAGATCATACAACTCTTTTTCCTCGCATTTGCTTATGATAATGCCGTTCGGGCAACGCATATTCATCTTGTGTGGTGGCCTGGCGTTTTCCTGTTCTCCGCCCAAAATATCACATTGAACACTTATGCTGGTGGTTGATTGGTTGGCGACTTCAACACAGATATTTCCATTCCTTGCAAAACTACAGTCACCCCCTCTGCACCGAAACCGGTTGTGATATTGTTTTAAAACGCCATCCCTCTCACAACTATTCGTTGCTGCACATTTTCTACTCAAAAATAATGGGTGTGTTTTTGAATCTTTGCCTCGTGAGTTAGCTGCCATTATACTGCTATTTATATCTGATTTTGGAGTGTAATTGTTTTTAAAAAGATCTCGAAATCGATTACTTTGTATACGTTGCTTGTTTTGGAATTTCAACGGAGGAGCACTTTTTGGTTTGTTTCCTGAAACTCTTCCTTTCAATATTAAGTTCGTAGATATATTATTAATCACTTCTCACCTGCAATGTTGCATTCCCGAGAGTGCTGTCGTTGACCTGATAGGGTTACTGGAAGATGTATCATTATGAACGAGTAATTGCAAAAGAGGGTACCAGAATGCCAGACTGATTTCGTACCGGTGTTAAGATCTATGGTAGAAGATACGAGTATGTTTAACCATAAGTCCCTCTAGGGGTGGATGGTACATACGTTTTTTGAAACATTCTTTATTACATTTTTCTCCTGTATCTGAATAGGTACTCATATATTTTCTCTTATCGCCATTACCAGCCTCTCTACTGTACACTGAAGGAAAATGAACTTATTTACATGCAGACGGTTGCCTTTTTCAGCGTTCTATTGAAATTGGGAAAAGTGCTGTGGCTTACCACAAGACTAGCAACCTCGATTGAGGAGGAGATTCAGTCGCCCGCACATATGGTAGAGAATGTTTTTATTTGCCCGTAGAGGTTTGAATGCTTGTTTTTGGTAGGGATCCAACTGGGTGTATTTCATGAACCTTCTAATACCCCATCTCCCAGAGACGACTATGGGCAGAAATGCGCCTAAAAGTTCTCCATCATATACCTCAACACCGGACTCAAATCGATCTGGCTGGACCCTCCTTTGCCAGTATATAAATATTTATAGATTTGATCTGATACTTAAATGTTTTTCTTTAAGTATAGGAACGAATAAATAAACACTTTATCTGTGATATTCTTTCGGTCGCCTTCAAAAAAGAACTACAAAATTAATGAACCGGATAACCCGAGACTCCAGACCCGACTGACTCGTAAATGGCGAGATTCGCTGACCTGATTAACAGAAAACCTGAAACTTCGACTTGATTCGTGGACCCAATCTGGCCCGCAGAGTTTTGAACTTTGGGCAGTTCAATTTCGAGTCGTGATTGTGTTAAAAAGGCATAGGTTACACCTTGTCTAGTCGGATCTGCTAGTTCAGTAAGCTGTATAACCCGCAAAAAAAGATAATCCGACAACCCAATTCATAAACGACATAATTCCAAGACGCGCCTGAGATTAATGTGATAGGCAAACATTCGGTGGCTTTATGCATACACGTACTCGCAAGAAAGAATAGCAGAGAGCTGTCCCTTGTGGCCCTCTTTCTCGGATCGGGTGACGGACAGAGTTCGCGTTTCAGTATAAGTATAGTTCAGTGGTTTAACATGATTACATTTTCCAATAAAAATTGAGAATAATTTGCATACCAGGATTATTTTTTGTGTGGATGGAGTAGGGTGCACCTGGTTTTTTCGAGGTATTTACGGCACAATGCTGTAAATGCATGGGTGTTTGATACTGTTGCAATTCGTGATGATCTGAAATGTTTGTGTGGGCATCATCATGATCATCATCATTTTACTTACTCAAATGTTCTTCTGCTGTGAATGTAGCATTTCCTGCAATGTAGGTACCTCGTCAGTAAAAACAAAACACTATTTGGACTCACTTGTAGGTTTCTGCATTATAGGAGAGATCACTTCAGAAAAAACTTCGCTTGAAGTAATGGAGGATTGAATTTGAAGGTCGGATGGTTCCTCTTGCTGATTCGAGTTAGACCCTTTGTCACAGGGGTCCGAATGTAGTTTAGTTTTGAGCTTATGCATAATCTCTTTTTCTTCGGACACATTTTTTCTTTTAAATTCAAAAACTCGAACTTCGATCGCATCTGCATTAATCTCATAATCCTCTTTACTTTTTTGCTTCTTTTTATGTTTGTTTTCTTTTGCATTGTTGTTAGATTTAAAATGGGCACGTTCTTTCGACGGTGATTCACGTTCGAGCACAAAGTATCGAACTTCAAATGTCGTATTTATATTTTGGCATCGATGGTCTCTTAAATTGATGTAGTATTCTAAATCTTTGCTCATAGTGAGTGAAGGCTTTACACTACGCTTAAAGTTGTTTCCTATGCTTACATTTTCCAAAATTTGTGGATGTGGATTACAAAAATGATGATCACACAATGTTTTACTTTCAATCGTTCTTGGCCAATGCACCGCCGAAATAGGTAGATCGAGAAGGCTACTGCACTGCTGTTCGCGTATAAGGGAAACAGTTCCTCTACTCATGAGTGGATGGTACCTTTCAATAAATTGAATACATCTTGAATCCTAAAAGTTTTTATTAATTGTCTATAGATAGGTACATATTAAACAATTGATTAAATGTCCTGCTGCTAAATGCTACGGTGTAGGTATAGTAATTACACTATTCAGTAGAAGTTAAAATAGGAGCAATAGAATCCTATCCAAGTTCAAGTAAATTGAATTGGGATTCCATTTAATTTTCCACGTATATGGAGATCTAAATTGTCACAACAATCGCGTGTATTATCTTTGTTTTTTAACGTATTGCTACTAGAAAGCAGTTTAATTTGTTTTTGTACCTCTGTTACTTCACACAGGCACTCCAAAATACACCGCCTTGCTCCAGATGCATCTGTCACACACTGATTTACCTTCTCTAATGACGTAAGTGATTTGGGACATTTTAATGATATTGTGCAGTGGTTATCCATCGCTACTGTACCACCAACATTGGAATAGTCCAAATTACCGGTTTCGCGTAGTGCACTCTTGAAGATGTTAATAGCATCACATAGCGCTCGGTGTTCTGCTTCTAAGCGAGACAGCTCTATAGAGACTTTGGACTTGTCCTTCTGTAACCCAAAAGATAGCCGGAGATTAATATAGGACAATTCGACAGGCTGGTGTTATTGTAAACCTTTTGCTTTTGCTGTGATGGCAACCGAATGCTCCATTTTGTGGGAAATCACTTCAAGTCTACTTTTATTCCAATCACCTTTTTCTCTCCAGCAAGAACAAACGTGGCCGTACAATTTTCAGTATGAAAATAAGCATCTACTTACAGTTATATGTACTCCTTGGTGACTCTTGGAGAAGTGCCCGTTTGTCAGAGTCTCTCGCTCGTTTAGTGTACCGCAGTCGCTGTATTCTTTTATTCCTTCAATGTCGTCGTGCAAAAATGTGTATAAAAGGGTCAGCTGAGCAACCGCTTCCTTCTTCAGATGCATTCTGTATGTGCCTGTGATAATAGGACATCGAATCGATTGTTGTAATGCCTCAATAAGGCAATCAATAGGACATTGGAACAGTTTGATGTTACCCTTCAATATTTTACATTTTGGGATTTTCCTAATTAATAATAACGAGTTTACTAGCGCATCAAATTGTCCGATGGAAATTGACCAAGTAATTTCCTCCAATTCGCCGTTAGTTGACTTAAGTGGCACAGATTCTGAAGCATTTTTAATTATCTCCTCGAGAGCAGTTGTTATGCAATCATACGCAATTAGAAAAGTTTCCAAGATTATGTCCAAATTATTTACATCACGTTCCCCTTCCACGTGGAAACCAGAATCGTATTTCGCCTCCTTCATCTTTAACTTCCATATGTCTCTGTTGTTTAACATTGAAACCATTTTATCCAAGGAACTCATAATTTAAAATTCGTGTGTATAGTAAAAATGTTACAAAAATTTTGACACTTTAATTTGACGCATCTCTGATTAGCAACGAAAGCTCAAGCTCAAACGTTATGCTCAAATGGCGAACGAATAGCATTACCATCGCTTACTTCTGCTTCTGCAGATTTCCCGAAAACATAAAACGTATTTTTGCTAGTGTTTTTGTGCGACCCAGCGACCTGCTACTGTCGGCAACCCGAGCCCGGCATCGATCTTACAGGTGAAGAGACGAAGTTTTACTACCATGCCGCTATTTCAGAAACTGAACCCCATAAATTAAATATCTACATTTAGAATTACAACGTGATGGGAGTGACCAAGGATGCTATATAATATAAGGATTGCTCGATCACTGAATTTTTTCGCCGCGTGTAGTGACGTCACTGGCGGACCCAGACGCACCGCATGCTTTGATTTTTAGATTTGTGCACCACTTTCATTTGTATTTTCTATTATGTAAGATTCTAAGAGCTTCTTCTCACGATGCGTTTTACTAAGGCACAAGTAAATCAACTCTCCTCAAACCAGACACCATTTTTTTTAAAAAACGACGCCCCTTCTTGGTACGTGCGCATTTTTTGCGTGAAGGCGCTTCTGAAAAGCGCTTAGTGCTACTTGTGGCGCTGCAAATCGCACCGTGTGATGGGGTCACGCTACCAGTCGCTTAAAAAAAACGCCTGGTAAGAAGGGGCTCTAATACGTCCAAATGGAAGTTATATAGGCAGGTATTTAAATTAGAAACACATGTCTACAAGTCTACAAATTCTCCTTCGGTTTTTCGCATACTCAAAATGTCGTGAACCCTTTTCATCCTGCGTTTTTGTTTTTTTTTACTCTTCATCATCCATGGAAATTGCAGCTAAATCAGTTTATTTCAACTTTGTCCATCTTAAAATAACGATTTGTCGACGTTCTTCTTGACACTGGCTAAAATGAGCGCCAGTTGAGTGTAAAATGTGAATACTACCCCAAATTGTTATTACAGTCCAATACTGCACGTCCAAGCATTTTTGTTGCAATATAGCGAACACATACACACAGTTATAACGCTAATGCAAAAACGTTGACAACTTAGCAAATTATAACTGTCAATTCTGACAGCCAGGTCCGTTGGTGACGTCACATATGACTTAAACTCGGGCAACATTACACGTATAGGGATCGAGCAATCCTTATATTGGGTACGTTCCACTTAACGCCCGCAACGACCACGACGCCCGGCAGCCGTTCCACATAATGACCACAGTCATTATGGTCGCAATCGCGACGTCAGATATGACGTCATTACTAGCGACCGCAACGAGCCCACGGCGCTCGCCTATCGTACCTGGGTCAGCGCGGACGTTCTAATTTTATAACCTTACATTCTTGACAGGAGACATTTAACTGATTGTTTGAACACGCATGCGTTACAAATTTTTCGTTTTCGCTTTGGAGAAAAAACTACATGTTTCAGAACGTAACCTTGTGGTGGACATTACACTATGGATGTTCTATATGCACAAACTGGTAAGTATATATGCTGATTCCTGAATGTTAAAGTTATTTGTTAAGGAAAATTCTGCTTTAACACAATTTTCTTTATTGTAGATCTTAGATTTGCAACTAGTTTGCTGCAAAGTGCTTTACCAGGGAATGTGAATGAGACTCGTATAAATGGTAATGCAACGATTGAAGAAAATGAGAATGCACGTTACTTTTGAATGAAGAAGAGAAATTGTTTTCGAAGAAACATTCCCACAAGAAATTCTGGGGAGAAGTGTTCATTATCATCGTATTAAGTATGGCCGCAGCATTTATGATAGAAATTCAAAAGTCGTCTTCAATATTTTATTAACAAGAAGCAATATCTTGTGTAAAGTGAAGAAGTATGTGTCAATAATTGGTACTGAAAAATAAAAAAAATATTTACTAACTTAATGTGACTTTTGAATTCATAATCCACCTCACTTTGTATCCTTTACGCATTACGATCTCCCCAACGGCATCCATGTTGGAAAACGGTTCACTCACGCGTGACGTCACACCGTACTCAAAAGCGTTCCACTTAAGGTTTCGCCCACAACGCCTCTAAGCTAGTGGAACGACAAAACCGCGGTCGCGGTCGTGATCGTTACGGGCGTTAAGTGGAACGTACCCATTATATAGCATCCTTGGGAGGGACGACGTAGCGCCTCTCATAATTTACCACCGGGGGCAAATAGTTCCATAGCCCCCCCCCCCCTAAATCCGGCACTCGTTAGCATAATTTCTTGTTTTAATGTGGAAGATGAATACAAAACTGACACAATCAAATGATAATTTTCTATTTTATTTTCTATTACATTCTAACACAATTCAAATGATGTCTTTATCCACAAACAAGTCCCGTCAGGGTGCACACCTCCGCTAACAAGTGGACGCTAACCAAGATACCGGGGGCGGCATCCTCGCAATATATCTACAATAAAAGAGGTTTGCAAATGAGAGACCTCGGCTTTCATGCTTTACATATTATATACCTAACCAAAGAGTATACGTTAGGTATATACTCTTTGACCTAACAGAATTCATTGAAATATACCTACCTCCAATATCCATACATCTAAAAATTAAAAGTCAAGAGTATAGCAAACGAAATTTGAGGGACGAGGCCTACAAGCAATTAATAGATTTAAGTAAAGTTCCCCTTGTTTGCTTTTCGCACTATGGTGTTTTGTGTTTTACTTGGTGATACGATCCTTGAGAAGACTCAACAAATAACCAAAATTATCACTGTTCATTCGGAAGTAATTTTTGTAGTTTCCAGGATTCGTATTATTAATTTTCTTCAGAAGGTACAGATGGTTGGACTAACTTGTCTTTAGATACAACTTTTAGTCCATCTTCTTCTTCTTGTTAACTTGTAATTCCATTTCTTCCGCTTCTTCCAGAAAAACGATGGTCGCTCACTGTCACGCAACACAATCTTTGGAAATTGTTCCAACTTCATTGATAGATTAGTTATCTTGGAAAAAGAACGTAAAAGTTTTCCTTAAAAGCGCGAAAAGATAGCTTCGCCGCGCCGCTTGGTTTATACAATATACACATACAAAATGTGCATTATAATAATTGGTCTAAGTTTATGTTTCTGCGATCAATCACAAATTAATATTACCACAGACAACATATACTACAGACGGTCAATCTTAAGGCTGGACAGTACACCCGTTCCGTTGCCCGAAAACGCGTGATTTCGTTCCACGATATCTTAATTCTGAGTGAAGTTGAAGAAGGGGTCGAATATTCCTGTGAAAGGTGAATGCTTTAGCTAGACAATAACGCCGGGGTTTACTAAAATGTTTTAAAATAATCTTTTTTTTAAGGGCAACGTCGAGGGCTGTTAGGGTGTCATATTTTGGAAAAGAAAAAAGGAAATAAATTTTCCTGGCGTTATTGCCTAGATATTAAGTTTACGAACGTATCTTAATTTTGGAAATTGTTCCAACTTCATTTATAGATAAGTTATCTTGGAAAAACAACTTAAAAGTTTTCCTCAAAAGCGCGAAAAGATAGCTTCCGCCGCGTGGCTGGTTTTATACAGATAGAAAATATGCATTATAATTGGACTAAGTTTATGTTTTTACCATCGAACACAAATTAATATTATAAATAACCAAATTTGGGGATTGACAATAGGCAACTTTACATACTCCGTTCTGTATGTACTGTCCAGCCTTAAGGGGAAAAAGCACGCCAAGTTTTGTTTCACATGTCCCCTTATTTAAAAACCTGCTATCCCTCTATTTTGCTCCATCTATTAGCGCATACAACAATGTGTTGGTTCTTCTACAGATTTCTTATTTTGGAATGGTTTTGCAAATTGTCTAGGGAAAGAAGTATTGATACTTTATTATTAGAAAGCTGTCCCACTCTCGCAAGAAATCCCCATATTTACATCTGGGCGAAGTGCTGATAATCTTTGCAGGTACACAGTGTTGCCAATTTGGTGATTTTGTCACTAGATCTGGTGAATTTCAATATCAATTTCAGACTTTTTCATCACGATTCAGACATGTCTAAAACCTAGTGATTTTCAACATAAATGTGAAGACTATCTGATGATTTCAAGAAAAACCGCAATGCTATTATATATAAATTTGTGAATTTTCGAAATGTTCGCGTTTTTTCAATAAAAGTCTGTATTCATTTATTTAAAAAGTCCTATTTCCTGAAGTAGGTAAATAGTCCTATTATGTTATGTAAGAAACAAGATACGAAGAATCGCATACGATTTTCAGTAGGGGAATTTTTTGGCAGGTCGCTTTCGGAAACGCGACTTTTAATTCGGCTCATATTCAATAGCATTGATCCTTGAACTTGTAGAAATCGATTGGTAAAGGTTTGACATCGCTGTCTCTTTTCGTTCTCGAGTTATACGAGGAACAAACGGACGCACAACACCGTCACATAAGGGAAATTTTCTTCCTTTCGAAAAATTCCCCTAAACCTAATGATGTGATTTTAGGGAATTTGTCAAATGTTGAACGTTTGGTTGCATACTTATTTAATAATAAAATTGGTGGTTTTGTTGTGAAAAGTTACTAGAAATCACTAGATTTTGGAGAAAAAAATCACCAAAAAAATTTCGTTATCTTTCTTTCTTTCCTGTTCCACCACCTAGTGACTTCTGGTGACTTCCAGGCGGCCATTCTCAGATTTCTGTCATTTACTACTTGGCAACACTGCAGGTACACATACAAAGCAATTATCACTTCATATTCGCAATTACCGTATTACTCGTTGTCTTTGGGTGCATAAGAAACGATATAACTTGCACCACTTTTCGAATTCTCAAAAAAAGTGTAATCTCCGTGTTTTTTTATATACCTACGTACTCTACTTGCCTACTTGTCTCTCCGTTTGTGGAATAAATCTTGCAATCAGCAATTTAACTTCATTTAACTTGGGTAACGAAAACCTAAACATAAGCAATTTTCGAATGAATATTTGCCTCATCATGTAATAAATCCCATTTGAGGTGTGCAATTATCGGTCAATTACGGCGGTAATTGCATTGTAGAAAACGAAAGAGCCCTGCGCTAATTGCACATTTCATGGGAATACACTTAACAATTTGATAAATAGGTAAGGTGAGTTTGTAATGTCTATTCGGGAAATATTCCCCCGAATTACACTCGTGCATCAAAATAAACCTGATAATTTTTAGCGCATTTTCCAACGAAATTGGGTGCGCTACTGCAGCCACTTTCTCTGTCCGTCCGTCTGTCCTACAGTTTTCAAGATATTTAGTTCGTTCTTTTTGCATTCGGTAGCGTATCGCTCTGGCACCTGAGTCAAAGAAAATCTTGACGATTGAACTGCGCAAAGGCAAATATATCGCATATAGTAAAAATCAGATGTGCGCATGCGCAGACTGCGCAATGCAAACTTTCTTATTTATGGAAATATTTCTTTGAAATTTTAACCAAAGATACTTATAGTAAAAGCAAACGTATTGCATATTGTAAATATCAGATTAATAAGCGCATGCGCAGGACGCGCAATATCAACTGCGCAGTAAAGTGTCAACTTCCTTATTTATGAAGATATTTCTTTAACATTTTAACCATATATGCATCTAGTAATGAAAAACGTAGCGCACATAGGTATGGCATTTGGGGAAGTATTGATCAATTTATGGAAAATGCGCTGAAGTTACTCGCCTTAGGGCGAAAACCTTTTTACTTGTTTATTCAAATGTCTTATCAGTAAAAAACTGCGTTCGGTTATTTTCATAATTTGTTAAAAGAGAATTTTGATGCACTTGTGCAATTACCTACGAAAATTGTCACAAACCAAAGTTTTAATAGCGATCCTCGAGATGGTTTATAGTTTTGTATCTATTACTGTCTGCCGGTTTAGTGTGTTGTCACTTCACTCAACGAAACCATGTGTATTGTATGCAAAAAATCCCCTGAATCCGTAAATGACAGTCTAGCTGACCGGAAACTCCGGGAACATATTGCTATACACAAGAAAACGAAGAAAAAATGGGAAAATAACGTTTTTTCGCATTTAACTTAATTAGGTATCTCGTTAACTATTCCTCTTACGGAAAAAATGAAGAGAACGATTTGTTTAGAATCGATTTTTCTATCAGATACAGTTGGTATGATTTTTATTAAACAGAGTGCCAAGGGCCTATTATAAAGTTACTTTCTTGTTCTATTTCTGGGGTTTCCACTAAACTAATTCCACAGTCCGTCGATTTGCAAAACTCATTGGGACAACAGAGACAATTGTTGGAATAGGTTGTTTTACGGTTCCACCATCCATAAAAATATTGAAAACGCTCTGGGAGTCATCCAGTTTGAAAGACAAAGCATCGAGAAGGGCGTATCAACAAAAACAAATGTTAATTTTTGGGATTACTTTTTTTGTATTTTTCCAGAAAAAACAATAACATTTAAAAATGAACGGTTCTGTACCAACTGAAAATTCTATTCGAAACAAATTCATTTCTATGAGCTCGAGCATTAGTTGACGAGATAATTGGAAGTCAAATGCGAAAAAAACTGCATTTTTCCATTTTTTCTTGGTTTTTTTGTGTATATAGCAATATGTTCCGGGAGAATCCGGGCAGGGAACTACTTAGAATACACTTGGTTTCGTTGTGTGAAATGCCAACATCCAGTTTAGAATACTTTTGGAGCTAATTGGCTGGACTATGTTGACCCTACCAATACACATTGACATAAAATAAATAAAGTTCGTTAAGTGCTCCCTTCCCTAATCAAAAAATTTTGTGATGTTATTATCACAGATCATGGTATAATAAATATCACATATACATATAGGTAGGCAAGGCCGTGCGAGGGGGGAGGGGCGAGGGGGGCCCAGGCCCTGGACGCCAATTCTGGGGGGCGCTGAAGTGAAGTCGCCCGTCGTCGCCTTCGTCGGGAGCGTCAAAGGCGTGAGTGAAAGATTTACCTCGAATTATATAAACGAATCGGTAAATACTCTTGTTTCGTATTTGATAAATTCAGAATCAGTAAAAATTTAAAAATTAAAAACTGTCGCGTTTATAAAGTCGGTAATTCCATGGAGTTAGGAAATCAAACAAAAGTGCCTGCATTTGCCATGTTTGATTTCAAATTGCCATGGCACCACTGATTTTCTTAAAAGCGCCAGTTTTTAGTTATCCAATTTCTGGAATTCAAAGTTCAGAAAATTAAAAGCTATAGTATGCATGGATTCGTAATTTGTTTCCCTACAAAAAACCTAAATAGACTTTCTCTCTAAAATAATTACAGAAGTCAATAATCAGAAATGAAAAAATTACTATTGCAATTCCTATGGTGCCTTGTTCAAGTCACCACCCGGTATAATAATATATTTATTATGGAAAAACAAAAATTATGTTTATTATTCTAATAAAATCTTTCCTTGTCCAACCTCATAATTTTATATGTGGAGGCTAAATTTAGTTTCCGCCCTTGTATAACCAAATTCGCTCCATCAATTTTTTAAATGTTTAGAAAAGCGAAAAATGAAGAATTAAAATGTATCCTCTTTCATGTAATTTATGATGTTATACAAGTGAGCGGTGAGCGCTTATCTTATCTACGTAAAGGCCGGCGTTGAAGCCGAGGAAGTAAGGTTTGAGTATATGTATTTTATTTTTACAAAAATGACTCCATCTATTACACACTTTTACCACACACAACAGTTTTCTGTGCGTCTACCACATTTTACAACAAATTATTTCGACTGCTTCAAGGTAGACAACACACTAACCGTACTCTATTAGGTGTTGCGTTTATTTCTACAGCATTGCATTGACCGTCTGTAGTATATGTTGTCTGTGATATTACAAATGGCCAAATTTGGCGATTGACAATAGGCAACTTTACATACTCTGTTCTGTATGTACTGTCATTGTTTCAATGGTACTGTCCAGCTTCCAGTATTTCTACTTTTTAGCGCCAAGCGTGTCGCGCTAGGAGGAATTATACCGCCCAGATTACGCTCTAAAACTGCAGGTGTAGCCCCAGCATTAGTTTTTTCTCTCTCTTTACAATTTAAACAAGTCTGAAAATAAAACCTTCTATCAGACTTTTTTGTAATCATTTATCATTTTTATTTTTTAGGTCTAATTTGACTACTAACATTGAATAGTTATAACTTATAAATTCAATAGAATTTGTATATTATAACTTTAAATTTCCCTCGCTTTCATATAGAGGGCTCCGTTGTTGTCAGGTTTGCGCATTAGCGAGTCGTCAGCAGTTTTGTCATCCCAGAACGACGCTACGCTTTCTCCATATTGAATTTATACAAAAAAGTTACGTTTGTTGGAAAATTGCTTTATTTACTTACCTAAAATTTGCTCTAATTTGTGTATTCGTGTTCACACTACATACAGAAAATGAAGAAAGACGATGTAAGTTTCACACCTAATTTTGCGTATTTCAATTTTGAGTACTGTACCTATGTATTTAAATGGAATGGAAAATATTTATATATCAGAGCATTTAAACTCCAGTAGTTCTAACAATTTCTTTAAAATAGGATGCAAGAAACGAACCGGAACACGTCCGCAAGCTGTTCATTGGAGGATTAGATTATCGGACAACGGATGATTCTTTAAAGAAACATTTCGAACACTGGGGTGAGATCGTGGATGTTGTCGTTATGAAGGATCCAAAAACAAAGAGGTCACGCGGGTTTGGTTTTATTACATATTCACGAGCGCAAATGGTAGATGATGCTCAAAATGCTAGACCGCATAGAGTTGACGGAAGAGTAGTCGAACCTAAACGAGCTGTTCCCAGACAAGATATTGGCCGTCCCGAAGCCGGTGCAACAGTGAAGAAGTTATTTGTCGGAGGATTAAAGGAAGATGTTGAAGAAGACGACTTAAGAGAACATTTTAAAAATTTTGGCACAATATTATCATGTACTATTGTCACCGATAAAGAATCTGGGAAGAAGAGGGGCTTTGGTTTTATAGAGTTTGATGATTATGATCCTGTTGACAAAATTTGTCGTGAGTATACTTTATGTTAGCTTTAAGAATATGGTGCTCTATTTTACGTCTGCCTTTTGTGTGTAATACAAAAGTTTATTTTTCACAGTACAGAGAAGCCACCAACTAAATGGAAAACACATTGATGTAAAAAAGGCTTTAAGCAAAGCTGAAATGGAACGTGCGCAAGGCGGGGGAGGGCCAAATGCAGGTGGTCCTATTGGTAGTGCCGGTCCACGGGGTGGTCCCAGAGGAGGTGGCTCAGGTGGAGGAAATCGTGGTAATTTTAATAACGGTCCCCAAGGTACTACATGGGGTGGACCGAACAGAGGAAGTGGTGGAGGTGGTGATTGGAATAATATGCCGCCAAATCAAGGTTATAACACAGGCGGTTGGTCTGGAGGTGGAAATCCTTGGGACAACCAGGGAGGTGGAAACTGGGGAAATAACCAAGGTGGCCCAGCAGGTTACGGAGGTGGGGGCGGCGGTGGTAATTGGGGACCGACCAATGATAGCTTTGGTGGAGGATATCAGCAAAACTTTGGAGGCGGTGCGATGAGAAGTAACTATCAAACAAATCGTCCAGCCCCCTATGGTAAGTTGCCAAATGTAATGTAATGACGTGTATCAATGAAAAACTTCATTAATTTTGATGTATAAGTACAGGGTTATGGAAAAGTATGGACACTTCTTTATTTTTTAAATATTTACCTAATTCAAAAATGTGCGAACAAAAAAAAGTTCTAGAAAAATATACATTGTCAATAAAAAAATTCATGTTGCCAATCAAAATGTCTGAGATCCAAACAGATGTCATTAAATGAACAAAGCATCTTTAGTTTCCAATACTTTTGCCTAATCCTGTGTTTTAAAATGTTAAATTTTGTTCTCAATCCTATGTTTTATAAAGGCATATTGATTTATATTAAAATTCCAATTATAATGTATCTTAAAATTAAATTAGAACATAGGACTGCCTAAACCCATCCCTATGTATAAAACATGCAAAGTATTTCTTCTGGCATAGTTGATTATCAATTTCAAGCAGCAGCAACATGTTTAAGTCAGAGACTTGTTATAACTAGACCGCGCGTAACGTAGATTTTACTATAAACGCCTGTTGTCAAGATAGGATAGGCAACCAACTGTTCATCGCGGGGCAGACGTACGTTCTGCAGCTTGCTTTAGCCATGTTTATTCTAAATTTTAGTAGCAAAAAAAGATAACATATAGCTGTTAACTGTTTTAATGGAATTTATTAGTATTTTATTTGAACTAAATTGGTATATAACTGCCTTACTCTAGTCCTAATTTGATTTATATGTGTATTTTGGTCGTGAACACGTATGGGAAAATATACTCTTAAAACTAAACTTGTAGGTAGTAAGATATGATTATTTAGCGGATTTTGATTCAATATATTCCTACCCAAAAACCCAAATGGGCTGTAACTGTTATTTGTTTTTCTTAGACTGCTGATAACCATTTTGTTTACAACGCGGTGTGGTGTGGATTGAATGAAAAACCTGAACACATTTTCAGCAATTTGGCAAATTTTTAATGCATCGCTTGATACGTGCAACAATCCTTCACGATTTTTTCTAGTTAAAAGCTTTGACTGACTCTCCGATCCGAATATCGCATCTGCGCTTGCACATATGGAACATAGACTTAGCTATTTTTCTTGTAAGAAAACACCTAATAGGCAAATAGGTACTGCTGTTGTCTTGCTGGTAAAGGATGTCGAATAATAGTTCTACGTTATTTTAACTGAATGGGAAAGTCGAAAACGTTCGGTATTGCATTATTGTTTAACACCTTTGTCGGTACCTTTCTAAAATCGGCTTCATTCCCCGCAAATGCACTATGGTGGGAGTACATTTTTCTCTTCGAATGGCTCTGATCCATTGGCCCTTTAAACTTTTATCCGTTGAAAATCAGCATATTATTTAAAAATTTATCGACAGAGTACATGTTGATAGGCACGAGTTAACCTAAGTTTATTGGTTTATTCTCAACAGAAATTTATCTGTTCACTAATTCGAGCTAATCACAAGAATTATTAATGGACGGAACATCTAAAATAACAGCTTATTTCATTATATTGCACATCATCTTAGCGATTTTTGCCCCGCAGTGCATTGTGTGTTGCATACTGTGTCGACAACACCTTAGATACTTTAAGCGCAGTCTAGTTATAACAAGTCTCTGGTTTAAGTGGTCTGTTTTATTTCAAGGAGGCGGTGGCAATCCTGGCGGTAATTATGGAGGCGGTGGTGGTTATGGAAACCAAAACGGAATGGGTCCCGGCAACAGACGATTTTAAATGTAAGTTCAACAGGAAACCTGTGGCCCTTTTAGGATCAGATGTACTATATTCATATCGCAGTCCATAAACATTATTGTTCCAAATAATTTAATTATTCGTAACACGGTTAGCCCTGTGGTTTGACGTGCATACACAATAGGTGTAGGTCAAGTCATTAGGAGGAAAGCCTATTTAAGGGTGCAGTGTGTATTGTAGTTAATATATGTCCTTTCATTTTTCACATAAATGATTCTCTGAATAGATCTAGGTTTATGTGTTAGTCTTAGCTACTACATATTGTGTATTGCAATAAAATTGTTAAGTCAGGAATAGTGTTTTTGGTGTATTATTGGACAGGTGACTGCAGGCAGAATTTTTTTTAGTTATTGAAATTTAGCCAGATTTTATCGCAGTTTTAATTCTAGGTAGGTAATTATTATTTAGGATTAAATGCATTTTTACTGATTCTTTTTTCATTACGTGTTCAGTGCACATTTTTTAATCAGTGAGTGTTTTTTATGTATAGAGCAGTTGAATAAAATAGAGCCAGTTTTATATTTAATGTAAGAGGTGTTTTTCTGAGTGTAGTCATTTCAAAGAATTGCAGGATCAACCAATGAAAACAGGTTTAAAATAGGTATGTATAGACTTCAGTATTGTTTTAGGTTATGTCTACCATTTAGCTCAGGTTTCTTTATCTTCAGGAAATATAATTATTAAATTTTTAAGACAGAGTACACTTAAATTAGTCTAGCAAGGTTTCTCATGAGGTGTTTTAGAAATTTTTTTAGGTAGTGACAGATTCTTAACAAAGCTAACCTGGGTTAGGTAGAATTTCATTCTTTTTAGTTTTTTTCATTTACCTAAACTTTGCTTTATAACTTTTAATAAATGATCACCTTCACACCAGCTTTGATTTTAAAATTCCTTTTACAATACCTACTTTTTTAGACAGAAATGTGAAAATTAAACCTTTTGCCAATTTTGATACCTTCGCAAATCTACTGTATTGACTTTTCCAAGAGCTTGTACTGCGATCCTTATACAAAAATTTAAGGAAGCAAAGTTGATATGAATAACAAACAAATTAATTACGTTTGTTTTTAGCCTGGTTTTGGTAAAAGCAAGCACTGCTTTGGATTATCTGGGTACTTCCAAAAGATGGTGTGAATCTTTTATTAAAGTTATACAGTAAATTTCATCAATCACATTTCCTGTTCAATCAGTTGCACTGATTACCATTTATGAGGAGTTGTTTGTTGCAAAGAAATATACCTGACATATTTTTCCACTTTTTAATTTATAACATGTTACAAGTAAATTGCTAATACTTTGTTTTTGTTTCGGCGATCCTGTCAAATACGCGCTGATGAAGCACCATCCTACTTTTAACCAGGGAATATGTGAGTATGAATACCATCCAATGTTGAATTACAATGCTTTAGACTCTCAGATGTTGCTGTATGTTCTTAATTGGAAAGAATTTCAACAGTATTTATTTTTGGAGAATCGTTACGAAAATGGTGTGGGTTAGAGCATTGTTCAAAACTCCAACTACTTATTAACTTTTGTGTTTCCTTAGAGATGCATTTAACCGCTTATAATCACAATTGCATCTAGATGGTTGGTTGCAAGGGTGCAGCTACAGAGGGGGAAGTAAAAAATTTATTTGCCATAGCCAATCGATAGATTTATTATTTTTTTCATAGTCATTAAATCAATTTAAATAAAATAAAACAATCAAGTGGGAGAAAAATTAAAATAAAAAAGTTTTTAAAGTCCTGTTTGCTGAAAAGTGTTTAGTTGGCGTGACATCCAATCTCATTGTGCATGATTATACTAGGTTTACTCAGCGTCAATAATTTAAGAATTACTGGAAAGTGATTCAAACGTTAAGAAGATGATAAAATGTATTTTCTTCCCACCGTAACTAGTGATAATGTGTATTGCACAGCAATAGGGTAATGTCGCATATGACTTGAATACCACTTTCTTGATCCATCTCTGTCATTTATTGAGGGATTTCAAAACAGTGGGTTTGTTATGGTCTACTTACGTAATCAGTTACCAATGGACTGTTTATTTAAAAATTAAAGAAGTTATTAGGCCAAGCAAATTAAAAAAACGAGGGTTTATATAATTCAAAATGGTATAGTTTTCCCAACGCAAATTAAGAGATCAGTAAGAATCATTAGTCAGTAAATATTCATTTGACAAGAAGCATTTATTTAATATGATTTTTAATTTCAAAATAAACTTTATTTTCATATAACATGGCATCATTTTTGAAACGAATTTTCCAAGAACTACACATCTGAGAGAAGTTCATTATTTGTGAGTTGATTTAGGTGTTCTGCAGAAATTGAAGAATGTTCACAATAGCTTTGGTTATTGTAGCAAGTATTTTAATAAATGGATTTGTAATATAATTGTTGTTATTTTCCTGTCATTGCACACGTTGACATAGCAGCAGTGCCGTTCCGTAGAACGTCCCGGCCTGGTCATGCAATCATAATAATACCCGGCCCAAAAAATTGAAAATACGCCGTCACGGCCACCGACCCGGGCCCGTAGAAAGAAAACTGAGGTTGAGTTAGCATTAATTAGCGTTTAGAAAGCAGGTAGAGTGGGTAAAGCTAAAGATAGGATGGCTTGCAGCCTTGCACTTGCGTTGTGCAGTGAGAACAATGGTAGATTTGTCGGTGACTCCAAAAAACATTTTACCTCAGTCAGACTGAATAAACAGACTATAAAGTGCCTCGTTTATTATTTTTTCGTATGTGTTTCCCGGCCCGGTCAACCACTGTCCTTTCATGACCTCGACGGGACGGTACTGCATAGCAGGCCATTGAAAGGCTTACCAACGGCCTTAAGAGAGAGTTAGTGCCTAAGTGAAGTTCTTCAGAGAGAGATGGGCAAGAGAAAATTAATGTAATGGACCAGTAGTCTCTGCTGTTGTAAAGTGTATGTAATTTCTTACCGTCAGTATACAGAGTGGTGTTTTAAGTGGGCCATTAAAAGTATTTCAGGAACGGTTTGGAATCTTGAATCGGGACCCCATTACCTTTTTTGAATAATCGATCAAAAGGAATCATTTAAAAATATTTTCAAGATGGCCGCTTTTCCGATTGTATCAGAACGGTACCGGAACTTTCTTATTTCAAATGGCACTTTACGAATTCCTCATGTCTAACAAAGTTATTTGACATTTTTTCACAGTTTCAAAGGTTCATTAAATGAGTCATATCACTGTTATCTGACAACTTGGGAAAATTTTTTTTTCACGAATGGACAGCTAAAAGTCCACGCTATCAAGTGCTATTTTCAAATGTGATTTGAAAATAATACAAATTATCGGTCAAAGTTGACAATCGGTTTTTGGTCAAACTCGAAATTTTGAAATAGAAACCATATCTTTACTATGCATCAATGGAAAGAGCATAAAAAAACGGACAAAAAATTGTACTTGCAGGAATTCAAAAATACCATCAGAAAAGATTGTGCCATTTGAAATAAGAATGTTCGGACATCGTTCTGATACAACAGGAAAAGCGACCATCTTGAAAATATTTTTAAATAATTGCTCTTGATCGTCGATCGATTATTCAAAAAAGGTAATGAGTCCCGAATCAAAATTCCAAACCGTTCCTGAGATACTTATAATGGTCCACTTAAAAACACCACCCTGTATAAGTACAGAGTAGGATACCTCAAATATTCTAGTCGAGTGTCCTTCCAAATAACAAGGAAACGCAAATCAACAGAGTACTGTACTATGAAGACCTTTTTTGTGGTAGGAATCCTTTATGCGCCCACTCCATCGATTGCTGGTTTGTTTCAGTATCCCAATAAGTGGTACACCCAGATTTCAATGACATTTTTTTAAATATCTAACCACAGTGATATAATTCAGAATACAAATTTCTGGCCTGACAAGTTTCTGTTGTGAGGAGCCTTGATCTTGTAGACATTTATGTTAATGGCGTTAATCCCAAATGTTTGTGTAACATTTTCAAAACTGTTATGCTTTCGATAGTGTAATGTGCACTTCCGTTGCAATAATTCATCCATTTGTAACTGTTCTTGTCTCAATGTGGCCTTAGATTTTGGATCACCTTATGGATTCTGAACTCCAACGAAATTGTTTTGGCCAGAATTTTACTTTCTGAAGGCGCGTATTCATATAGCGAATTCGTTCCGTATATACGTACAACCTATCACAAGCGAATGAATATATTTGCTTTTTAGGCAATAGCATTGAATTTATAACTTAAATTCAATGGTAATAGGTCTACCTATTTTGTAGTGTGTACGGCTTGCCACAGTATTCGTATTCGCAATGGCTAAATATACAGCTTACAGTGTATACACACTAGAAAATAGGCATACCTAACAAGCAAACATATTTGTTCCTATACACGCCCCATAAAAGTAAATGCCTTCGAACCATAGACATATTTAAAACTCCTATGTATTTTTTTATATGTCTATGCGTTGAACGAATTCGTTCTCTATATGAATACGGGCAATCGTTCATTTGTGGATAATTATTGAGCCTGTACACTGTAAAAGAGATAATCCCTTAGACCATATAGTACATGGATTGCTATTAGCCCTATGCTTTCAATACAAAATGGGTGGTCACGGATAGAGGGCACTGTAGTCGTGATGTGAATCTCAGGGTAAACTAAAGTCGTATGAACACCACCCGGATCGCGTAAAGAGTCGCTACTCGCTTTTATGGTAACCGTGCAGTACGGAAAGCTTTAAATACTCTTATCTTCTATACGTCCACAAATAAGAATAGATTTGCTTTTTCGTCATATCTAGGCGATTAATTAATTGACGTTTGTTAATTTATAGGTTGACAGTCTCAAATCGTGTCTAATCGGACAACTTCGGAGAGACTCGTTTACCCTGAAACTCACATACCCAGGCGATGTCCTTGACCATATTTTAGTTACAATTAGCAGTCCTAAACTCGTTCAGGTGTAATGCGACCTTTACATCAACGTCGCACAGCCACTTCCAAGAATAAATTAGGTTATATTTCACGTTTTTGAAATGGAAAACAAAAAGAGCGAATACACCTTCGTGTCGTCTCCAAACTTTTGCTCCGACTGCGGTTCAATTTTACCGCTCCTTGGAGAAGTAGGCGACATAATTTGCTACAGATGTACGCGACGTTATAGCCATAAAGGTATGTTCCACTTCAATAAGTACATCTTCCATAACTTTTTCATAAATAGAAATTGGCAGTGACGAAATAAAGTACACAATTCATTTTAACTCCATTGATGCCTGTACAAAAAACTTAAAAGAAGAAAACAGAAAGGAGACTGAAGAGGAGGGGCCAGTAGTTGAACGTAAATGCCCAAAATGTGGAAATGATAAAATGTCTTACGCAACAGTTCAACTACGGTCTGCTGATGAAGGACAAACAGTTTTTTATACATGTACGAAATGTAAATTTAAAGAAAATGAAAACTCGTAAATATATTTTACATACAAAGAATCTTGTTTAAAATTAATCTAAAATTTCTATCTCTGCAACTACTGGAGGTGTCGATGGTTTGCTGGTGTACCAAGGAATTTTGTTTTCATAATAGTTTATAACGATCTCCGGACATCTTATATTTACTTGACGAGCTGGTACAAGGTCAGCTTCTTCACAACCCTTCCACTTCATCAAAAACATCAATTCGCCGCTAGCATCTGTTGCACCAATAATGGAATCTGGTAATAATCCACGATCGAAACCGCGTGACCTGTTGTCTTCTGTTATGTTTTTCTGTTTACTTCCCTTGTCTGCATCTGTTGAAGGTGTCGCCTGTTGCACCAGAGGTGGTGGTTTCCGTGCGTTCTCAAATGCTGCAATCAAATCGGGACAATCCAAATTTTCTTCTGGTTCCCACGTGTTATCCTCACTAAAATACAATTCAAACATAGAACACAGTTAACTAATAAATGTATTATACTCACTGCGAATATCCTTTCCATTTGAGTAAGTATTCCGTTTTTCCATTGCGAATCCTTTTATTAAGAACCTTTTCCACTGAAAATTCTTCATCGGAACTAGTGGATGGGTCTTCCTTTATTTTTTTAGTTTTCTCGCCTTTAATAGAAACGTTATTACTAAACATTAAGAAGAATGATAGGAATTATTATTGGCAGTGGCCTTCTAGATACAGTATGGCATTATATTGATTGAAAAAAATAAACAGGAGACCAAATACCATTTCTTAAGTTTTTTAACCAAACAAATTGCACGCACGCGCCATTGCCAGTAATAACCAACCACGTTTCATTACAAGGGCGGGTTTTTCAAAATCGCCGTATTGATTATTAAGGATCCTCAGATCCTTTATAGTTTTGTATTGTCGTCCGTCCGTCCGTCCGTCCGTCCGTGTGCGCTCTAACTCTTTTTAAAAGTGGCCGATTGTGTTGAAATTTGGTATACGGGTACGTTGGACATTAAGAACGGACGCTATTGATTTTCAGGAAGCTGGTTTAACAGGAACAAAAGTTATACGACTTCGAGTGAATCGGGAACAGGAAAAACTGCGAACTCAATATAATAAAAATTAACATATTTCATTCCCTAGGTCATGTATCGAGTTCGGACTTTCGCTAGATTATTCCCTATGACTCTTAGATGTGTAACAATTCAATATAACTCTTCTCTGTGGTATCGGTCAAAAGTTTTAGAGCAAAATGTACCCAAAATTATTCTTTACACATGAATTTAGAGTTGTAAAAGCTTTCAAACGCATTATCTTGATGCTGAAAGAGTTGATAACGTGCACGTTTGATAACCGCATGTGTGTGATTAAAAAATGTTAAATTATTTTTCTGAGGCCACATGGATTTTGATCAAAATATGTCAAAATCGTTAATTATGCACCAAGATCGTTGGGAAAAAGACTACGCGCATTATCTCAATGCCCAAGACATGAGTTTGATGCATTTTTGGCGACCACGTGAATTTTGATCAAAACATGTCAAAATCGTTATTTATGTACCAAGAGCGTTGGGAAAAAGACTACGCGCATTATCTCAATGCCCAAGACATAATTTGATGCATTTTTGGCGACCACGTGGATTTTGATCAAAACATGTCAAAATCGTTATTTATGCACCAAGATCGTTGGGAAAAGACTAGGCGCATTATCTCAATGCCCAAGACATAAATTTGATGCATTTTTGGCGACCACGTGGATTTTGATCAAAACATGTCAAAATCGTTATTTATGCACCAAGAGCGTTGGGAAAAAGACTAAGCGCATTATCTCAATGCCCAAGACATGAATTTGATGCATTTTTGGCGACCACGTGGATTTTGATCAAAACATGTCAAAATCGTTATTTATGCACCAAGATCATTGGGAAAAAGACTAGGCGCATTATCTCAATGCCCAAGACATGAATTTGATGAATTTTTGGCGAAAACGTGGATTTTGATAAAAACATGTCAAAATCGTTATTTATGCACCAAGATCGTTGGGAAAAAGATCAAGAGCATTATCTCAATGATCTAAACATGAATTTGATCTATTTTTATGGACCACATGGATTTTGATCAAATCATGTCAAAATCGTTATTTATGCACCAAGATCGTTGGGAAAAAAACCAAGAGCATTATCTCAAAGCCCAAGACATGAATTTGATGCATTTTTGTTAACTATAAAATGTATTTTATAAGATTAAAATAAATTGTCGTTAAAACTGATTGTAATACTGAGGATCCTTCGATATTTCGTTGTATCGGTTTATTAATTTCCGTGTTTAGATTAATACAATTTGAATAGGAATTTGGTTACAATTAAGTACAAGACGAATTGACAATTAATTCATCAACTGATTTTTACTACAATATGCAGAAATATGAAAGTAGTGGTCATTTACAAAAATGCTGTAAATCACCAATTTTCAAAATACGTATAAAAACCTTATATGAATGAATTGTCTACCTTCTACCACATCGAGTGTTGCAACCGGGGCCTACCACACTTGTAGTGTGTACCAAAATGTAGTGTAATGTTATTTCAACAAGGCTTAAATTTTTTGGCAAATACTTATAAACGCAAAAAAGACAGTTTACTGTTTCTAATGCCTTGATAAGACGCAATAAAATTGTATGAGATATGTGTACCAAAAATTAACTTCTACAAAAATTTGCTACGTTGAGGATTTCATGTAGATACCCGGTGTGGGAATATGAGGTAGACCGAATTAACATTTATTTATGTAACAAAGTAAACTGAACACTTCAACTAAAACTTAAGAACACAATGTATGTCTGTAAGTAATAAATGTCTGTTTGTATGTAGGTATTCAATATTTGTGTGTGTGTGTGTGTCTGATTTTACAAAGTTTGACAAGTGACAAGTGATCTCGCCACACAGCCGACTAATACTACACCCGGTACAAATAGCGTGATATTCCTATTCAAGATCATCCATGACATGACTGTGCGTGTCATCTCTAATATTCTACATGTGTAGATTATTGAAGTATTTGCGACAAATGACAAATACATTTACATATTCTTATATGAACGATATCTTGGACATGTTTTAATTGACATTGTTTTTGTTTATGCTGTTCTAGTTTAACTGAACTGTTTGAAATTTTACATTCTTTCTAATGTTCTTATTTTATTGCTCAAGGATTTGATCTGTTATTGGAAATTTTTTCTTATCCTACATGTGTAACACGTAGAAAAGTAGATGTACAGTGTGTCCTATTTTGGTTGAGACTGCAGTAAGTATATCCATTGAATAAAAACACTATAAGAAGCCTAACGCTTATGGAAGAAAGCGCGACAAATCTCACAAATCCCCTTGCACCCGCATTGGTTGTGACCCCCGAACTCTCTTTGCGGTAAATAGGAGGAAAGCAAATTCTCATTCTTCTCAGTTCAAGAATCGACTCTATTGACAGTGTTCCCATTATATTCTCAGTTCAAACTCTGTCGCGCTTTATTTCCACGGGGTTAGGCTTCTTATAGTGTTTTTATTCAATGGTATATCTCAGTTGTTTTTAAAGATAGAGACTCAATGTAATTAGAAAAATAATGCAAAAAGTTTACGTTAAGATATACAGGGCGTTACATTACAAAAATATCAACTTTGGGTCAAATCTCAGAAACGGTGGGCAAACATTTTGTTTACTATGCCACTGGATTCTACGTAAAAATATCTAAAATAAACAGTTTTTACCTTTTTTCTATCTTAAGGTTGATTCTCACTTAACATAACGTTTCCATACCATATCCTTTCCATAACCATTCCGTAAATTATTATACCTAGGAAATTCACCTTTGAGTGATATGTGCGTAAGCCATTCAGTCGCGCGCTAATACACATTCGCCTTCCATATGTGAACGGAAAGGAGAATGTGTATTAGTGCGCGGATGAATGTCTTACGCACATATCACTTAAAGGTCAATTTCATAGGTGTAATAATTTACGGAATGGTTATGGAAAGGATATGGTATGGAAACGTTATGTATAGTGAGAATCAGCCTTTATATGGCTAGTAAGATGTGATATCATCCAAAAAGTCACTCTTCGTTTTCACCCTGTATCTCAGAAACAAATGTAGCTAGATTAATTCTGTTTGTGGTATTAAAAGTTTCACAGAAAAGTGGCACAACAAAAGCCACAAACCACAAGTCTCTATAGTAAGTAGCTGAGACTGCAGTTTCAACCAACATGGGACACACAGTACAAGTAAAATTTCCATAAGTGTAATACAATCTAAAAAAAATAACAGAAGTTCCGAAAATTATGACAAATCTGTACTGGGTGTCCAAAATTCGAGGCTGACTATTGGGATGTCGAAAACAGTAAAGATATAAAGTCCTCTTTTCAACGAGCTATCATAGCCTAACATTGAAAATAAGATATAAGTTATATCAACGGTTTTATATTTTAATCAAGTAGTCTGTGATGGATCAAAGCCCGGATTGAAGAAACAAACAAAAATATTCAAAGCCACAAAACAATGAAAATGATTACATCAGATGTTCAAACTACCAAGGGCGCATTCATGAGAGGTGGGTTTGGGGGTTGCAACCCCCTCCAAAATTTTATATAGGTAAGATAATGTCCAGAAAAATTTTGACTTTTATGACATCACTTATTGACTATCCTATTATCCATACTTACATACCTACAAAATGGTGCAGGTATAACTACAAACTATCCCCCCACCCCTAAAAATGTGCTGGGTATGCCCCTGCAAAATACTGGCCATTATCCAATTACACACACTTCCAAGACACTTCGTCTTACTTTACACAACGTATTGATTGTGCATATTGTCGCACGGTCGCTTTTTGTATGTGATTTTTAGTTGCTTATGATAACCTATCACAAACATGCTGCTCTATATCAATTGAAGTACAATAGTATATTGAAAGACAAGTGTTACAAGGCTTCGCGTCGCCACTCGTGCCACAAGATAGTCGTATTACAATAAAGCATTGTAACACGCGTTTTTCATACAATTTTTTCTATTTCGGTGCTATAGGGAACATTAGAACTAACATGTTTTATGTTGGGAACACTTTTTATGCCATTAAGTTTTAGGTTGACAGCGTAGTAAGACTGACATTTTGAAGTTCAAACATGGAAGTACCCAACGAAGTACCTACTTGTACTAACTAGTAACTGCCAACTTAAGAGATGAGTTACCAAAAAAAAACGACTATAATCACTGTCTTTGTACAACTGTCTTCGGCCGAAAACAGTTGTACAAAATCATCATTGTGACACCGAAATAGAAAATAGTATATTGAAAGACAAGTGTTACAATGCGACCTATTGTAATACGACTATCTTGTGGCACGAGTGGCGTAGCGAAGCGGAGCCACGAGTGTCCACAAGGTAGGAGTATTACAATAAAACATTGTAACACGTGTTTTTCATACTATTTTTTCTATTTTGGGGCTTTAATTTAATTAAAAAGTAATTATGAAAAACTACAGGAAACTTTAGAATTAATATGTCTTAAGTTGGCAACACCATTTACGTTGACAAATTTTAAGTTGGCCGCGTAGATAAACACAACACTGACATTTGGAAACTTTAAATTCCATGAATGTGTAATTTTTTATTCGTAGATAAATTTATTTATGGTGGATGCGTAAACTGCTGATTTGGAATGTATTAAGTTCTTCGTGTACCAAAAATCAAGGAAAACACATAAATTTTACGTAATTTGATTTCACATCTGATGATTTGACGTTGACGTCTTAGCGAACTGCCAACTTAGAGATGAAAAGTTACCAAAAACAATGTTACAATGGAACTCATTGAAACACTGTTTTTGCCGAAAACAGTTGCACAAAATTCTCATTGTAACACCGAAATAGAAAATAGTTATTTATATAACAAGAGCGCGAAGTTCAATTTCGCGCATTGAGACTGAAGGTATTTTGACGAGGCGAAGCCGAGTCAAAATATCAGTCAAATGCGCGAAATAACTTCGCGCTAGCGTTTTATACAATATTTTTTCTACAACTGAACCGATTGTTAATTAAATTTTCTGTTTAAGTTCAACTTTGTCACGTGCGCGAAATACTTTTTTTCACTGTTGACGATTTCGCGCACGTTGTCAATAGCAACCTTACTTATTAATTAACCGTTTAAAAATCTAGTACTTCGCGTTTCGAAATCCGTCAGAAAATGACAGGTTTTTTTGACAGTTGTAGAAAAAACATATTATGTACTATTGTCAGTATGCTACGCAGGTATTGAAGCCACATTACCTTACACACTCCAAACATGCTGATCTTTATAGTATCCCTGTCATCATCAGGAAACACGGTTGCTTGCTGATGAAGACGAAGATGGTTAGTTTTGATTGATATTATTGTGAGTTATTGGTTATTTGTTATCAAAGAAACCTCTCTATGAACAGGTACAAACAAAAATTTGTTCCATAATCATTCACATTATTTTCATGTAAGACCCTTTTCACTAAGGACCGATGATCAGTCAAATTGAAATTGTTTTCACGAAACGAGGATAATATCCGTGGTCAACATGTATTTGAGAAGAGACAACACCGCCTCGGGCAACACTATATCGAAACTGCAACTAATGATACACAAGCATGATGCCAGCGCTATTTCATGAACCGACCTATGAATGACAAACATGTGGACAATACAACTTAAAACAATGGATACGACGGATGGTTAGTACCTCGGTTGGTGCCGATCATCGGTCCTTTGTGAAACAGGCTTTAGGTTTTCAAATTTTCTATATTAATAGAATCCATAAGTTACCTACCTTTCCCATTTTGCAAGTTAAGGCTCGCCGACCTCTGTTTGGTTGGTGCAACTTTTCCTTTTGTTCTCTGGCGAGTCTCTGTAGAATCCTCTTCGTCGGAACTTTCTTTCTTATTTGGCAAAGAACGATTCCTTGTGCCCACTTTAAGTCTAGAAGGCATATTTGGTGGATAAATAAATGCGAACTTTTAAATACCGCGGTAATTCAGTTTTTGTATAAAACAAACAATAAACAAGCATGAATATGACAGTTAAATTATAGTGTCTATTACGCCTGCGCGGTACTTCAAAATCAACACGTGTTGACTTCAGTGGTGGAGATTAAAAATAATGGAAGGGTGCTAGACTACTTACGACACACGTGGAAATATGGTAGGAATTGCTTCACTCAGCAAGCGGGTTTTGTCTTCGGATTTGTAGAGCAGACTACGTTCAAAATGATTTGAACAAACTCTATCGGTTGCTTTAATTTCGCGATCAAACTTCAATTTTTTTATCCATTTGTCCCGTCTCTCTTCGTTTGACGGAAATCTAAAACATTTTTTGGTTTCTACTAAAATAACGTTAAAAGAATATCAAATTAAATTAATCCCAAACCCCCTTAAAACGCACGCCTATGCATTATAATATTTGCATTACAAGAAGCCAAACATTTTGTCTATTAATTTATTGGAATTCGAAGTAAGCTAACCATAAATACAACTACATTGTAACACAATATACAAAAGCCATAAAACATATTTACAGTGAACGAATAGTAATCCTAAACATAAATAACCCATAACCTCTTCAAATCAAGAATTCGTGTTTTACCTGTGGAAAGAAAGTGCCGGTAGTCCCGGTCCCGCGACTCTATTATCGTCTCGATTATGACAACCGGGAACTACGCATTGAAGAACCATGTTAACTTTCAAATTTTCTAGAACACCGCCCCAACTTCGGTTTCAAAAACAAATAATGCTACGGCGCCCGGCGGCTAGGTCGACTGCGCGTCGCAGTTTACCACCAAAACCAAAAACATGGCGGTTGATTTTAATTGTAGATTGTAATTTCCAAATCGGTTTGTCTGAATGTTGAATTCAAAATTACTTTTGTATTATCAAAATTATCAAAGGTGTGATTAGGTACCTACTATTCCTTCCGATATAAAAATTGAAATACTACCTAACCTCTAGTATTGTTTATTAAAATAAATAAACAATCTCTCTACTATAGGTAATATCTTTATTCCTTGGGTAATATCAACTTATTCAGAAAATTGATAGGGACAAAAATAAATCAAACAAATTGCAAATTTTACATAATTTTAATTCCACTAATAACATAAAATACTTTTAGTAGATATCGTCGATATCGACATATAAGATATCTAGATATCTATGGTATTTAATATGTACAGTGGCGTAACATAGTGGATATATCGGTTGTGAACTTGACATAAAAGAATTAGCATTGAACTTATAACTCGGCAGAGCTGGGAAAGTTACTTTGATAATGTAACTAAGTTACTTTCCATAGTTACTTTCCAAAAAGTAACTTAAGTTACTTGAGTAACTAGATACTTAGAAACAAAAGTAACTTAGTTTCAGTTGCTAGTAACTAAGTTACTTTTAAAAAAGTTCTTTTAAAAAGATACTTTCGAGTTGCTTGCTTCGAATTTCAACAAATAATAGGAAACAGCTGAATACTGAATAACCAAAAGTTTTATTTTCATATTATTTCGTTCACAAGCACAACAGTCGCACGTTTACAACTAAAAGGTAAATGGCGAATTGCAATTTTTTTATAATAAGCATCAGCTCACATGAACAAATATCTGCCGATGCGTCACCGGGCGCCACCGTGCAGTTGTCGAGTCGCGAATTCGAAAAATGTACAGATAAGAAATTTTCTGTATATAATTACAACGGCAATGGTAGGGTGCATCGACATCTTACTCATACTCCTACATTACATAATATATCAAAGAGATAAAAAATTGCACTTTACCGCTGCTACCTTTTATCATCTCCTCAATGTTAAATTATAAGTAGGACTATTTTTTCTTATTGACATTATTTAAACGCTTGTGAGATCTACAAGGTATTTTGAGGAATAATTTTATAATAAATAAAAAGTAACTTTTCGGTAGGTAACTAAGTTCTTTTTAGGTAACTTAGTTACCAGAAAGTAACTTAGTACTAAGTAACTAAGTTCCTCTGAACATGGAAAAGTTATAAGTTACTTTTAGAAAGTAACTAAGTTACAAGTTACTTTTAGTGTTATTTCAAAAGTAACTAAGTTACAGTAACTTAGTTACTTGAAAGTAACTTAAATTTTAGTTACTTCCCAGCTCTGTAACTCGGTATCAGAAGTGTGGGTTATATGATAATAATAATTGTGATGGTTATCAAAACGTAGATCTCGTTACCGTCAATGTCAGGTTTACTCTACTACTTCATTAAGGAAAGTTTTGAATAATATTACCATGATCTCGAAATGATACTTAAATAAAAATTTCAAAAAATTCTTTAGCCCATTTTAAAAAACATAGAAGGGCACTATTGTGGGTGCGTTATTTGTCTGTCTGACGAACAATATCATAATCAGCTTTACATAAAATTGTAAAAAAGTGCGGCACGACCAAATGATTATCACGCGGGACAAATTTTACAATTTAATTCACGTCTGCCTTCTACTGTATATTATAATCTGATTGTTGCTTGTGAGATATCAAAAACTGCAATTCTTGTGATAAAGTCAAGCTTTTTTTACATCTACGAAGTAATTTTTTTAAATCAATGGCATTGATGTACAGTGCCACCATGCTCAGAAAAGCCCCGGAAAATATGCGAACTAATTTTGAAATAATTCAAGCTGGCCAATAGAAAGTCTGCAAAACGACGCGATACATTCCGCGCCATAATTATTAATTATTCCGTTTTGACAGTTGACGCTTCACGTTATTTTAGTTTACAATTTTCCTGTTGTATTTGCTTTATTTTACGTTTTCCGTTTCCAGTTTTATACAAACTCGTCTTTTTCAAGACGCATATAGCTTGGATCTACGATCTGATATGGTATGTAATTGCCTTAAAGTGTTTTTAAATTTTGCATCAGAATGTACGGTCTAAATTTCGAGCGCCCTCGGACACGCCCTGTCAGGGACTTTCTGAGCGTGGTGCCACCAAAATNATATACAGGGTGATTCCTATAGTACCTGCCACCGTTTGGGAGCGTGTAGGTGGTGCGTAGGGGGGTATTTTGATATAGGACACTTGGGGTCGGAAATCTAAAATAAGGGTGCCAGAGCCAAATTTACCTTCTGGAATTTCGCGCCTGTAGGTAGGCAACCCAACCGGCCGGCGGTGCACACGGAGCGATCTCAGGCGGCGATGTGTGGCTGACACTTGATCAGAATTTTGTTTAAACCCACGAAATCCCGTCTGCAACGACGCGTATCAAGTGAATAAACACTATGGCAATAGTATAATAATAGTTGGCTAGATGTAGGAAGTGCATTGAGAACAACGGTGGCCACGTTGAACACTTGTAAACGTTATTGCTTTTGACTGTCGTTTTCCCTCCTTCCCTCCCATGTCGCTTCCTCGCGCTAACTCGCTCTGCATCGCTCCGCGCGAAACGTCGGTCGGTTGGGTTGCCTACATACAGGCGTGAAATTCTAGAAGATAAATTTGGTTCTGGCGCCCTTATTTTAGATTTCCGACCCCAAGTGTCCTATATCAAAATACTCCCCTACGCACCACCTACACGCTCCCAAACGGTGGCAGGTACTATAGGAATCACCCTGTATATTTCGAGCAATACAGACAGCATTTTCATTAATTAACTCGATATTTCATTTATTTTTTGGTAAAATTTCTGAGTAGAGTTTCAGACAGCCTCATAAGTTTTGACAATTTAATACCTCATTCAGTTGTAGGCTACTTATTACCAAAGAATACTGTTACTCTTTGTCGTTTATAAATGCAATGCCATATACAGTCAAGCCAAGCAAACAAGTCCGTCAAGAAGGCGATTGTTTGGTGTCGCTGTATTTTAGAAGTACAGTCTGTGTCAATAGTGTTTGGCGGGAAATTTAAACTTGTTCTATTTTGTCATTTTTTTAATGCAGCTACGTTTGAAAACTGGAGAAAGAAATTTAGTACAATAATTACAACCCAAAATAACAAAATTTACCTAAGTACTACTAATGACAAAGCAGTGTGTATTTAAAACTAATTAAACAGTATCATCCCTCACTTTCCTCTTCACTGATTTTAGAACCTTCGCCTGACGTGCCAGTGATTACCGTGAAAGATAAACTTTCTACAGCTTCATCTAACAATCCATGGCGTTGCCACATTTATTCTTCCAATCTCTTAATGTGGATTATGTCGTATCCAGACTTATACTTTTCGAATTGATGATGAGATGTGCATTTTCAATTCATTTCAATTGATTTCATCCTGCTTCAGTCAGTTTTATATACACCAGGTTCATATTTTGTTAGCAAGCACTCCATAAAATGGATGGATGTAGGTTTCGTCAAAAAATGTGATCTTTACTTTCAATGCAGCCAATCTTCTTCTTCATTTTATTAACTAAATTATTGATTGTAGAGACTTTGTTATGGATCATGTAAATTTCATTCTTCAAGACGCGTAAATCAGAATTATCCAATGTTATTTTGTAGGAAGTTGCACTTCCTTGCTTCTTTGATGAAAATTTCCATGTCCTATATCATCGGCAAGTTTGACTTCGATCTACAGGATAACAATATGTATTTATTTCAGAGGAATATTAATGAAATGCACATTACCTAATTTGGGTTATGAATTTTGTTGGTTTGCCGGTCGCAGCAGCAGCTAGTTATGCTCCCTTTCCCAAAGGAAATATGTACACACCGGCAGCTTTCTCTTTGCCAAAGAATTCCACGACCCTTTTAATGACATTTCTGGCTTCGGAATGCACAATTGCAGAGGTTTGCTTCTCTTTTCTTGCCGTACGGATAAACTTGGTGCAACAAGCGCATTTTATAAACATTTAATATATAAATGTGTCACTGTCACATTTTTTACGGACTGTACACGCCTGCGTTGTTGGTATTGGCTTAACGTTTTCCCGCCACGAAATTTCTAAATTAGTTTGCATATTTTCCGAGGGACTTGTTTGCTTGGTGGAGCTGTATTATGCTATTACAAAAAAAACTCTAACATCATTCCTCTAAATCAGGAGTCAGCACGAATACTATACCATTGTGTAATTATCTGTAGTATTTTGTTTTGTGATCCTTCCTTACTGTAATTCAGGTCGTAGCGTTTTTTACAACTAAGTATCGCAAGTGAGCCACAAGGTAAGGAAATGTTCTAACCAACCTGTATATAAAACCACAGACCATATGAGATCAGCTGATAGACGATGACAAATAATTTGCTTATTTTTAGGTTACGGTATTTTAACAATCACAAATAAATAAATAATCATCTGTGCCACCCGTGATGGAAATAAAATGTCCACAGTGTAACAATTTTCTCATTTCCCCGTCGGTGAGACTAGTACAAGATGCCTGCGGACACAAGAAATGTCGAATGTGTTTACTTCAAGATGAATTGCAATGCAAAATGTGTGCTATCGATACCATCCCACTGAAAGAGGAGACTACCACTGAGTCCGTTATAAAATGTGAAAATAATCATACCGGAGTGATAACCTGCAATAAGGTAAATACAGCTATTGTCGGCAAACGTGAGGAAGACTGTAAACCTAATCCTGCCACGCAAAAAACCCCATTGAAAAAAAGTGGTAAGTTACCAAGCCCAAAAAGAAGTTACAGATCACTAGTTTTACCAAATCATGTGTCAGTGATATCGACGAGTCCAACTACTTATAAGTGCAACATTTGTAATAAATCGTTTAAAACGAAATCGCACATCAATTATCACAGTTATTGTGACGGAGGTAAGGTTCTGTCCAAAAATATGTTGGTGAATCTTTCTATTTTAGGACAAAGACCTCTACAATGTAGCGAATGTAACAAAGGCTTTGTTAGCAAATACCATCTGGAAATTCATCTACTTGTACATTCCAATAAGAAACCACATACCTGCATGATGTGCGCTAAAAGTTTTACATGTTTAAATAAATTAAACAGGCACAAATTAGTGCATTTGGAAACTAAACAGTATGTTTGTCAGCAGTGTGGGAAATTATTTAAGAACAAAGATTATCTACAAAGGCATTCCATAATTCATACGTTGGACAAACCGTTTGGATGTAAAATTTGTAAAGCACACTTTAATAATCGATCAAATTTAAATAAACACCAATTAACGCATTCAAGTGAGTATGTGAGTCTAGTCACCATTAAGTTTCTTTAGTGCATAGAGGAATATTATACTGCAGATATCTGGTAACTATGCAGTAGCTACTGAAAATTAAACTTTTTTAATCTTTCTACATCCCCTAAACCCTCTAATAGTACATAAAATTACAAAAATATGAGCAAAAATATTACAATTCAGGGGTGGCTCCTCTATTAGTGCTGCAGAACTACCAGAGAACCAAGAGAATAAATCCTCAATGTATGGGTATGCATTAAGCATTAAATATGTATTACTTATAATAGAGTTAATTATCGAATGTCTGGTTCCTTGTACCCAGTGCTGTATTTGGAGGGTATATGCGGGTATACGTCGTATATGTTTAAAAGTAAAATTTAGTTAGCGTATTTAGAAATGACAATTTGTGTAAGTGTGCTCAAAAACCCTTTGATGACCTCAGAAAGCATGGCACAATTAAGTTGTTGTGCGCCAGTGCACCAGCCTGTTGGAACCTACAGAGTTGCCAACTTGTTTTTTTTTGTACCGTAATCATTGTACTCGTAAAATGTTCCTCAATACAGTATGTACTTTTTTTACGGGCCATATAAAAAATAAAGTTGATGATGATTTCTTCTAAACGAAACGTTGTATTAAAAATATCTCAACGCTGTCCTGTAGAGCTCAAAAAGTGGCAGTTTCTATGGTTTCGGAGATCCCCATAAATAAACATTCTTATCTTGGACACAGTGTATATATATGTATAACAAAACAAAAAATCGTTAAGCCGCTTGTGAGCAAGAGGCAAAGAGTGCACTTTGTCGTTGTCTTCTCGATTTTAATAGTCCTTATGGACATTTCATACCTTAACGAGAATACAAACATGAAATAATTTTTAATTTCTGATCGATTAACACCAATACCAAGTCAGTATAAAGTGGTGTTGTTCTAGAGCCTTTGTGATTCAGACAGACATGGAGAGCGCAAAAGTGCACTTTTGATTTTTTGAAAGTGAAAGTGCACTAAAAAAACAGATAATGGCAATATACATGGTACTGATAATGAACTGAATTGCCATTTACAATGAAAAATAACAAGTAATAGGCAACCAAAACTGTTATTCAGAATAACAGAATAACTTATTCTCTAACAAAATGTCAACTCAATGAAAATATTCAGTCAAGACAACTAAAAACATCTTTACCTTCTTTTGTCTGACCCACACACTCTTCGTGAACATATCCGGAACAAATTACGTACAATCTCATTAGCTTGTCGATCTTCAGAGCATGAAAAACAGTACCATTAATCAATCAGAGCATTTTGATTTTTTCTTCTGCATTTTCTTACTCACAGGGCATCCTTACGATGGCAATATTTAGAGCATGTTGTCATGCAAACTGCCAATATTGTATAGGTGGTGTCTATTTAGTGTAGTATTATCATGGTAATATGCATTACAACAATTTTAAAAGAATGTATATGGCAATCTTCGCCCACTACCTTTGTTTGATATGTATGTAATTTTTTATTGTAGAAGAAAAAAACCATATGTGTGACGAATGTGGGAAAAGATTTAAATTCAAGAACGCATTGACTGCACATTATCACATTCATACCAAACTTCGACCGTACACTTGCTTAAAATGCCCCAAAACGTTTTTGAATGCAAAAGACCTTCATAGACATCAGCTTGTGCACTCCGGTATGTATTTAGTGAACTATATTTATATGTTAACTTCTTTATTTTAAGATACAAAACTTTACTCCTGTAGTTTGTGTAAGGTTAGTTTTATGAGAAAAGACAATTTACAAAGGCACATACGCAATAGTCACCCTGGAAAAAAGGCGAGTCTTATTAAAAAACCTACCAAGAAGTCGATCCCTAAAGAATTTGAACCAGAGGTTTTAGAAGAGAATCCAAACGCAATTAAAGTTATTACTTCCCCGCCCACTTCGTCCCCCTCCATTGAAAAGTTGGAACCTAACAAACAAATTCCAGTAATTAATGCACCAGTAAAGCTTGCATTTAAAACAATGGCATTTAAAAGTCATTACAACATTCCAAGGTGAGTCTTTACCCCGTGAAACTATGTTCATAATCTTCTTTTCAGTCGCGAGTATCAGGTAGAACCCTCAAGAATGCATTCAAAATTATATGACTATGCAGAATCCGTAAGCATATGTAAAAAAATATTATCGCCCTTAAGTCCTCCAAAACCGAACGTTAAAACACTGGGCAACGTGAGTGCAAAAGAATCGTCTGAAATTTGCCAAAAAATTTTAACTCCTATGGGACCTCCTCTTACCAACGATTCATATTTTGAAAAACCGCCCTCTATCATCAGAAATATCAAATTCAAGTTACCGCCGAAATATTTAAATCTAAGTAAGCCTAACGTATTGGATGAAGTACTTAAACCGAACATGCAACCAAAAGAGACCTCTACTCCGGTGGATAATCAGACATACACTGATTTAAAACCTTTGCCATTATCAAGCGGTGCCACAAGCGTTATTGTGAATACTAACTCGAGTCACGCTAATGAAATGCATTGGCGAAGGAGAACTCTACAAAATTTAGAGTTGCAATCGAGAAGTGTTATTGAGTAGAACTCATTAAAACGTTAACAAATTGCGATTGTGATTTCGCTTTGTTATAACTGGTTTGTAGCTAGTATTCTCTAAGAATTTTGCACTGAATTGAAATAAATTTTTAATAATTCCTTAGTATTTTTGATACGCTAGTGTAAATTTCAGTTTATAATAAGATGATCATATTGTAATAATTGTCTTGTGTTGTACAATGTACAGGAATAATAATCACAAGCTTCCACCATGTAGGAATCACTCAAAGTGTGGGTAATATTCATTCTAGTTCGTATCTCTACCATAGTGCTGTAGCAACGTAATTATGGGCCTGTGTTCCTCCATATGCTTACAGGCTCTGCTCGCAGGAGCTGAGGGAGTTACCCCTAATTCCTTGGTATGTCTCCTATTACCAACTTTTAGTTAATCTATTTGTCATTTGCAGTGCATTTAACATGTTAATTGTTTGAGGAACGTGCTAATGCTTTTTTCATTTACCGGTTCCAGATTGATGTTTAGGTATAGAACCCATGCTTTACAAATTACACAATGCGGATGTTGCTTTACAAAAAAGTAAGTCTTCTATATTCTTCATTCATTTTCTTAAATGATGCCACACCAACATTTAAAAAAATACACTAAAATTGCGAAGTATTTAAACACTACGAATTTTTATAGGTATTTACTATGTGGAAACTGCAGAGAATGTTTTTTTTTCTACTTTGTCTCATGATTACATGAAAACTCATATTTTGGGAGTAGGTAAGTGTTTTTTTCATCCAAGCACAAGAGTTACAGTAGGTAGGTACACAATGATATTTTGGCCTGTGTGGCACAGTTCAGTTAAAGCTGAACTGTGGTGCTAAGGATCCCTGGTTCGAATCCGGGTTCGGGTATGGATATTTGTAAATGTATAGTGGGTTGGGTTGGTAGAGCAGCCTTGGCTGAAACCCCGCCCACTCAAAAATAAAAGCAAAATAAAATATAAAATAAATATAATGGCCCCTATGAATAAAAGGGAGCAAATGCTTATAGTTGCAAAATTCAAAGTAAATACTCGTAAGTGCCCCTTAGTACTGTCATGTTTTATAAAAATACCTATATACAGATATCTCCAAACAGGTGGAACAATCCCTAACATTAAAGTTCTAGAATCTGGTAACTTCCGCCATTTTTGGGCAAAAATCATGCGTTCTCTGTCTAACACACGAGCCCAATGGATTGCGGTACTTTCTATATTTAGTGACTTTAGTAGGTACTATGGGTTTTCGTATGTAGTTATGGATTTGTGACATAATAATTTCCTCAGAGCTTCTGTAGCGACTTTTTGAATATTCAGTTTTAGCTGTTTAAATCATAATTCATAACCTAGTAAAATTACAAGGTACAGTGCCGCCATGCTCAGAAAAACCCTGGAAAATATGCGAACTAATTTTGGAATAATTCAGGCCGGCCAATAGAAAACCTGCAAAACGACGCGGTACATTCCGCGCCATAATTAGTAATTGGGCGCGTTCACCGAAATAAAGCGCTACCATTGAGCGCTACATCCGTTTTGACAGTTTACGATTCAAGTTATTTTAGGTTACACTTTGCTTCTTGTATTTGCTTTATTTTACGTTTTCCGTCTCCAGTTTTATACAAACTCGTCTTTTTCAAGACGCATATAGCTTGGATCTACGATCTGATAAGGTATGTAATTCCCTTAAAGTGTTTTTAAATGTAAAACTGTACCTAACCTTACTAATGAATTGATTGCCGTGTACAAATGCTTGCGATCACTAGTCACTACACCACCCACAACACACCTGTCGAGCTAACTGAAATCATTTTAAAATTGAAGCTTAACATAATATCTCCCGGTACACATCCGGCATCTGCTATAAAGAAAAATCTCAATACTGACTTAAAACTCAATTTGAAGGACACCGAGATAACAGATTAAAGTACAATAAACCAACTCTGCTTATTCGTAGATAATCCCCCAGCTCTACACTTAAATAAAATCTAATATTGTAGTATACAGGGTGTCCTGCCATTATTTTTGGTGTTTAAACCGAAATAACGCGTACATGACGTTGTTTACACAACAATCAGTCCTTTGATGTATCACTAACGTTAAAATTAACCTGTAGATTATCTGTCAAAAACGTAAATTAACGTTTTTTGGCAGATAACCTACACGTTAAGTTTGACGTTTCTGATACATCACAGGGCTGATTCACAGCCGTCTATAATTACAAGCCATGCTGAGAAGTTTGGCAACGTTGTTCGAAAATCGAAAGTCAGTAAGTTTTAATGGCGTCTTGTTGCTCTTGAAAAATGGCATTTTCCTCTCCCCTGTGTTTCGCCTTGACGGTTTTAATATAGAAGAAAGATACTTAGGCAGCTTACAATTGTGCATATATATTATTTATTTACAAAAATGGATAATAACATTTTTATTTGACTTTAAAATTCGGAATGCTGTAAATTGGTAACTGCATCATAATGTGTTTTCCATCGAGATCTCCGAAATTGATGAACTTCTGTCGAAAGAGGTCGAGGTGAAGCACACGTTTGAGCACTTAATTTCGGTAAAAGGACAGTAAATCACTGCGCATCAGCGAGGTTATATCAACGACCAGGTGTGATTCGGAATGGCAGACTTTAAGCCAGTCGCTACTCCAGTGGGTCTAGGTACGAAGCTTTTAAAGAGGGGAGCCCCATAAACTTCAAATTCCCGTACCATGAACTCTTGGGAATAAATTGAAAGGTTCCTTCAGAAAATCGATTTGACATGTCCGTGCTAGAATACCTGAAATACAAACTAATTGTATTTTTTCACGATAAACACTTACCGTACTTACGTACCAGGTAGTGTGTAGGTCATATTTGAGCTTCTTACAGGTAGTTTGAACAAATAAAAGTGCTTGTAAAGGGTTCAGTAAGGAGTAGTTTGCTTTAGAGGTTATGACAACAAATCGATATATTTCGTTTAGCAACTTACCTGAATAATAATTTCTGTTCATTCCGTAGAGAGTAACACAAATTGTCGCAATCTCGCTCTGTTAAAACGGGTAAATAGGAATATTACACCCAAAACACATATAAAATACACTAAAAATCTGTCAAGTTGAATTAGGAAATCGGCCTACCATGCAGTGTTGCCATAATTCTCAGCACGGCTTGTAATTATAGACGGCTGTGGCTGATTGTATATCGAAAATAAATATTTTCAAGTTATAAAAATGTCACCTTCTAAAAGAGTTGTGTTAACTCATTTCTGGTAGGGCTTGAAATTCCATACAAATTCTTATGTCCCAACCAGAACTATGTAAAAGATTTATAAGCATACGTCAAAAGCGATTTTACTATAGTATTCTTAATTTGCACTTCACTTTGAAAGGCTGCGGTGGCAATATATTGTCATATATTGTAAATGTATCTTCAACTCTACGTTCTCGAGATCCCGCCAGTTCCTCTTTTTTTGAGTGTTGTTGTGGCTATTAGAATATTTGATATCAACTGAACCATCGGTGAACTTTTAAAATTAAACGGTGTAATTAGTTAAATTACCTTTAATTAAGTATAAATAAACTGTACATTTACAATAAAATTAGGTATAAATCACTTCCAACTCAAACGGAAGCTGACGGAACGACAGACTCGAGCGCCGCCAAGGGATGCGGACTTGCCCCTGGACAATAATAAAATAAACAAATTTCCGAACTGGCTGCAAAACGGATACCACAGATAACACGTCGGACAAACGATCTCCAGATATCTGGCGGGCAGGGGCGATCGGCTTCTGGCGAAGAGTCTAAAAGCAGCATTATGAGACGGGAACACATAACTAATCACAAATTAATTAACGGTATTTACGAGACATCAAATGCATGAAAACAACAATGTCACTCCCTTATTATTAATGGAACCGAAAGTGGCAAAAAGCTTACCTTAGAAATTAAAGGGAGCGGTAGTAAAAAGTAAAAGCGGTAAATACGGTGAGGTAAATTTAATGTAAAATCAAAATCAACGGTATGAATGCAAAAGAAATTTACGGAAAGGATCAAAAATTAATACGGTAGTTACAAATGACGGTGATATCGAAAGTCACTGCCGGTAAAATTTTGTCTAATAACGAGTTCTAAAATATTAATTTGTCTTCGTCTTCTAAATGGCAAGAGCCTTCGGACGCAACAAAGATCATTGAAATATCTTTATGGGAATGGTTGCAAACGGCAAATTAATTACAACGTTGTTTACGGTAACGGGGGCTGAAACACATCTTCTATCTTCAACTCCTAGAACTAACACAAATACTTTCGACACGACACTTTTCCGAACGAACCGCCCAACTTAAAACGCTTCTAGATACCGGGGGTTCATCCACAGAGTTATCACTAAAAATGGTAACTTCAAGGCGGAAAACGAGTGCATCGTTACACCATAGGACCGATTTTGGTTAGGAATAGAAGGACCTAAGAGCAAAGCCAATGGAAGAAACACAGACACAACATTAAATAAGTTGATTTATTATGCTGTATGACATTTAGATATTTCTAACATTACTATACCTATACTACAGATTACTGTAATCTGTGCCTATTACCTATAGGTACCTAGACCAATAACATTTCATTATTGTCGTTTGCATTAAAATAGTCATCAAGGTCAATTGTTTTTATTCCGCCAAACCAGTCGAATAGTGTGATTAGTTTGATTTCCATTTTTGCAACATCGAACTTGTGTGCTGTGTTATATACGTTATTAGTAGATTAAGAAGACAATATACTTACCTTTGGGCAAATCTTTAAATTGAGGATGTTTCCTTATAATGTTATCAAGTGCCATATGGTGTTCTTCTGTTGCATTGTTTACCTACATTTAATAATAATGTAATTTTTTACGTACAAAATCAGACACTTCGCCAGAAATGTTTATAGCTACCTCATTAGTTATTGTTAGGTATTCAACCTTCCTGTTCAACTGTCATCTGAAGGAGAGTATAAGAGGCATGTTTTAAACCGCAACAAACAATGAGGCAGAAATAATCTTTCATGACGAGAATCTTATTACTATACGCTGTGCGTAGTCATTTTGTATGGGGCAACCAAAAATTAACTTTTTGGTCCTAATGAAAAAAGAGAAATGGTGTGGAGATTTTGATATTTTTCTTGTCAAAACAAATATGATAAGTAAAGATAAAAACGTGTTTAATTTTATTTTTTACTTTCCCGGCTCCGTTTTTGCGGTTCCATTATGTTGAGTGTCCGTCTGTCTGCTCCAATAAAAATGGGTCATTTAATGCACAATTATGTTGTAAATTAAATAATAGCATTGTATATACATTTTATACAATGATAATTGATAATAGTCATAAATTTTGTTAGTAGGTACCTACTGACATTTCACTAACATTTCTCATTGTTAATATTAGTTGATTATATAGTGTCATGCCAACCGTAGAATGCGGGAAAAATAGTTTTAAAAAATCGTGCCTATTGGTATCCAAGATATTGAAGAAAAACTGTAACCATTGTAACGGCGAAGTGGGGGACCATCTCTCTAAAAATATAAATCTAAACATGGCAAATCGCAGGTGCCATGTCAAATCCATATGTTGACAAAAAGATGACATCAGTTATTGTTATTTAATAGGTACCTAGGAAGTTTTTATCCCAACTTTGAACGTCAATAACTAAGAATTTAATTTGAAAAAAAAATAATTTTTTTCCGTACTTCCAGTCCAGCCAAAAGTCGAGGGTGTGAATTATGCTATATAATTAGTATAGGTATAAATAGAAAAATTACACACCCATACAAAGCTCCCACTTAGTGTAACTCGTTGACATCTTGGATCTTCAGCATCTATATCATATTTGGTACACCAATCAAGTTCAGCCATTGATGCTATGACACTACAACGATTGTTTATCTAAAAATATTAAGCTTGGGATTAAATGAACTAGCTTGAGTTGTACACAAATTGGTATACTTGAATGTCAATTATCGCTTGGTCCAAAGATGTGACATAGAAGTATGGGACTCCATTCCCCTTTTCGTCGAAACCATCCACAATTGATTGTAAACTCGTATACGGGTATGACTTGATCGCAGGCATCGTTGAAATAGTTGAGAGGGCGATCCATGCTAAATTTGCAATACTTTACTAAAGTCAAACATTATCTTATCACATGGCTATTATAATGCGTGTGACGGTTTTTGTGTATGAACTTTACTAATTATTCGTATGTATATTGTTTAATCTCTTTAGAAATATTTGATTATTCGAAATAGTCATGCTAGATTAAAGATTAAAAATCTTAAAAATTCGTGCAAATCGGTATGTCTTTACATCGATCCATTTCAGCTCCATAGGAAAAAAGGAGGTGAGTATTCTGCTTTAAAAAAGAAGAGACAGTGTTAGACACAGGAGTCATTACAAAGTATAATTAAACATATTTTTATTGAACAATTATTAATCAATGTGTATCAAAGGAAAAAAAATTTCATGTAGGTACTTACTCATAAATAGTTCATAAAAATAATTCATAATAACATAATTTGCAACAGAAACATCATCTACAGGTGAAATTTAATAATGTCTGTGATTTACTTACGACAATTATGAAGTACTTGTCTTGCCACTAGTGCATGATTTGTAGGTTTCGGTGGATCAATCTCAAGGATAGATAGTCCATTAACGAATGTGATGTATGTTAAAATTGTAAGATATTTATTAATCATTTTTTTATTAAGATCTTTCAATTGTTCTGTAGAAGTGAGGATACAATTTTCTTGCAGTTAAATATATGCACACGCAGCAAACTTGTTAACCTTTGAAATAGATATTGAATATAATGGCCATTGCCCAGATCAAAGATCACAAGTCACAACATTAGTCTGCAGCAAAAAAATTAAAATCCTCTGAAACAAATATGTCAGTAAACAATACCGAGAACAATACCGTCTAATTTTAGAATGTAGGGGCAGTTGACAAAACGATCATCGTTTAACGTACCTATTTGAGGGACCAGGTTGAATGTGGGTTGAACGTCAATTCAGTTGACTGACACAATTACCAAATTCGATTGGACAATGTTTGAATTTTGACCAATGAAATTTCTGTATTCAGTCAACTGAGGATTCATAATGCGTCATAATGGAGCCGTTCACACACGCATACCTACTTACAAATCGCCGACTAAATTTCGGTCTCTCGCTAGTCCCCGGCGATTTTACGATTTCGGGGGACTGATGGGCTATTGGGCCATTAGAAGGGTTTACACGAGGATACTTTTTCATTAGCACTGAAAATACGTTCGCCGAAAAAGTACCTTCCTGTGCAAAGAGCAGTTTAGAATGCCCAATGTCTTTTTAAAGAATTTGTTATAGTGATGCAGTAACGTTAGATAAAAATATTGAGTTGGCGGTAGGTACCTACTTCGTGAAATGTTGCCGAGGAAGAAGATGGTTTGAATTTCTTTATCATGTAGGAAATAGAAGTAATTATAACAATAAATTTTTGTGCTGCATTTGTATCTCCCCACCAGCAAACTACAGACATCGCCTTAGCAAAGTGGTAAAATTCAAAAATTGATGTGCAGTATCCCCAACATTGAAATGAATTAAGTGATTTCACTGTATTACCAATTAAGAAAAAATTCTTTTGATGAACAATAAGTAAATTGTAAATTATTTCCGGGAATTTTTTGGAATTTGGACTTTGATAAATTAATTCAAAATTGGTACGATTTTGAGCTTTATTGACATTTGATTTAATTGATGACGTCATCAATTAAATTGATTACTATGTAGGTAATTAAGTTAATCCGCGGGTCGATTAACTTAATTAGGCGTTTGATTTCTTAGAATTTCTTCTAAATAGTTTGATTCGCGCATTAATCAATTTGATTCGTAGTTTAATTATATAATTATTAGTCCAATTCATTTAATTCATGGATCGATTAATTTAATTCACGGATTGATTAATTAAATAATTAAACTACGAATCAAATTATTTAATCCACGAATCAAACTAATAAGAAACAATTCCAGGATTTCCCGATTATCCCGGCCACACCATAATTATATGAATGTATCAGCTATCGGCGGCCGATATAATATTAATATCAGTATCGGTGGATTCCTAGTACTATATGTTACAGTTGACTTTTTTTTAATGACGCCGAGGGGACCCGTACCTATATTTGGTGTTGCACCATGGCCCGCACATATGTCTTGTTACGTCCCTGACTACATACCCAATTTTCTGCATATATATTTTCCAAAGTCTTACAAAAAAAACAGTTTTTTCAAGTGATAGAAAACGAAGCTTACAGGATGAAAACAGTTTATTTAAATTTCATGTCATTCCCATTCTGTTCCAAGCATTCAAATTTCATTGCTATCGTATGCATTAAAATATTCCTTAAGGTCTATTGTTTTTATTCCACCAAACCAGTCGAATAGTGTGATTTGTTTAATATCCATTTTCGCAAGAGTGAAGTCGTGTGCTGTGAAAATTAAAACTATGTACCAGAGGTACTTAGTTATGCAGTATATTTACCGTTTGGCCAATATTTAAACTGGGGATGTTTCCTTAGCATGTTCTCGTTGGCCTTGGTGTATTCTTCTGTTTTGTTGTCAAGCTATAGACAATAAGTACAGTATACAGCATAAAGTCTAAATATAGTGAGATACTTTCAGAAATCTATTCGTATCAGTTTCTTATAGGTCTAAAATCGACTCATCTTGTCTTGGACACTCTGTATATTGAGCTGCTAGTAAAGTAAAATTTCTATTTAAATCATTGTTTAAACAAAATAGTTGCTATGCACCTTTAAAACTTTGGTTGGTATAAATCTTTTAAAATAGAAGCAAAGAGTAAGGGTACTCTTTGATAGAAGTGTTAAACTAAATATTCAGAACATACCCATACAAAATTTCCAGTTAATACAACACGTTGGCATCTTGGGTCTTCTTGATCCAGATTATATTTAACACACCAGTCCTGTTGAGCCATTGATGCCATCACACTACAGCGTTTATCAGCCTAAAATTTCCATTAAATTAGACAGGCTATAGAATTTCCATACACTTACTTGAATATCAAGGATCGCTTGATCTAAGGCTGTGACAAAGAAGTATGGTACTCCATTTCCCTTTTCATCAATACCGTCCACGATGGATTCTAAACCTGCATATGGGAACGACTTGATGTCTGGCATTGTCGAAATAGTCGAAAGCGATACCCATGCTAAATAAACGTGTAAAAAAATATAGAAAACGAGCTGCTGGGTATGGCTATAGCATGTGCAAAACCAAATTTTGAACTTGGTGTTAGTTATGTTTTTATTTAAAGTGTATATGTATAAAATTTCATTTAATTGCTTCCATAAATAAGAAAATTGGCACTGCACATCGTGCACAAAATCAAATTTTGAAACTGGGGTTACATTTGCTTTATTCCAAAAGGCTATGTATCAAATTTCATTTAAATGATTTCATAAATAAGAAAGTTTGCAATCCGGTTTGTAAATGGTCGAGATGCGAAAAGGGCACTGCGAATGTTGATCGATTAGGCTCAACTTTTGGAATTTGGGTTTATATGACTAAAGCTATACGCATATTGAATTTCATGCAATTCGGTTCATAACTCACGGAGATGTCAAAAGGGCCTTCCTTATTTTTTGGGCTATATTGCCAATTCACCAACTCCGGTCTACAAATTTGATAAAGAATCCACCTACATCATAATCGGTCCATTCGTTATCGAGATATCGTTTTAACGGACAGACGGACAGACATCGCAAAATTATAACTCGCTAGGAGCTCGTTAATAATGAATATTTTAGCGAAATTTATTTCTGGAATATAAACGTTGCCAATTTATCGTGTAACGTTTGCAAAATAGTAGTAGTTATTTTATGTTTGTTAGTATTTGATTGTCATTTGCCAGTATGCTTATTATGAAAGTTGTAAGCATGGTTTTGTAATAGATTAACATTTTTCAACATCGTATCAGCACTAAACAGGAGGACGCAGGCGCAAGTTAATAGTAATTTTCAAGCTTCAGTGGTCAGAGGTTAAATATTAAATCATAACTCTTATCTTTGTCAATGCATTGATAGCACCTTGTTCTTTGTAGCTTATACACTATCAAGTGTCAGTGGCGGTCCCAGTGGGGGCCCGCTCCCCCTCCCCCATTGCCCATTTTTTCATCAATTTTGTATCGATCTCATTTCCATTATGCGAGATTTCTTTTATTATTTGGACCCCTCCCTTTACCAAATCCTGGGACCGCCACTGTTAAGTGTTAAAGACTTGCTATAAAAACTGAAATAGATTCTATGCACATCAGTAGATACACTCGAATGATTGATAGGAGGTAGAAAAATTGGAAATTATGCAAAGTATAGGTACCTTATATGTGAAATAAACCACATGCTTACCAGAACTATGAAGTACTTCCCTTGCTACTAAAGCATGATTGGTAGGTTTCGGTGGTCCAGCCTCAAATATAGATATTCCATTTATTGATATTATGCAGGTGACTGTTAAAACTGTAAGATATTTGTTAATCATTTTTAAAGACTGCTGTAACGTATTGTTCAATTCTTCCCACTGTAAAAAGTGATAAATTATACTGAGTATGTATTATGTAGGAACATGACACAAATTGTTAACCTTTGAGACAGATAAAGTGGATAAATTGGGACAGTGGGTCAGGTCAAAGATCATAAATAAATGGCAAAAACTGATAATGAAATCGAAACAAATTTATCTTGATGACTTCGAAAGTATCTTGAAACAAGTATAAATTGTGCACAACTCATGTGCAGATAAAGCGCATTTTTTTTAAACCGAAATAGCTTTTGCTTTGACATCACCAATGGATATATTTCTTGCAGACGTCTCAATCGCCCTTTGTGATTAGTGATTCTGATTACCCTCTTCCGGCAATCCGTTCTTGAGGTATAAGGGAATATGTACACCCGATCACGATAAGAGGTCGAGGAGGAGGGCTATGGTTGGTAGAAATTAATTCCTTTTGTTGAGACCTTTCATTAGAGTACCATGAAGGATAAACCACCTCCCCTCCACCCCTTATTTTGATAAGACAGAAAGAAGGACAGAAGTTGGTACAAAGGTAGAAAACGGTTCCTTTCGTTGAGACCTTTAAGTACAATGCAATGAGAGATAAAATCAATTTTAACCCCCCTCCGCCCCGTCGCTCACTGATCTCGAAAAGTCGCACGGGAAAGTTATAGTTTGTACAAACCAATTTATTTCGATGAGACCTTTCATTAGAATACCATGAAGATAGAACATGTGTTTACCCCCCCCCTGCAAAAGTTTTACTTACCCCCCCCCCCTTTAAAAAGTTTAACTTGACACCACTAAAGGCATGCGTATACAAAATTTTACACCAATTGGTTGTCGTATGTAAAAGTTTTACTTTCAAAAACAGCACCTCATGAAATTCGTGGGGGGGGGGGGCCTTTTAGACAGCGAAATTTGATGGCCGTTTGGCACACCTTCAAGATATAGGCTACCTACTGCAACAAATTTCAGGACTCTAGGACCATTCCCTAGAAATAGTTCGAAACGGCAGTTGTAGGAAGGACGGACGGACGGACAAAACTCAAACACTAGCACATATTTTTTAATTCTTAAAAAATGCGCTAAAAACATCGACAGTTGATGTCCAGGTATATCACAATTCACACAGCAATTAAAAAAAGTAAACTTAGTTTTATTGACACGATGTTTTAAATAAAGCAGATAGATGAGTCTTTGAATATTTCAAAGGATGAGTGTAATAAGTTCATGCACATAAGCACAGACTCAGTTAAT